GCACTCTCCGGCACTCTCCGGCACTCTCCGGTACTCTCCGGCAACTCTCCGGCACTCTCGGGCACTCGCCAGCACTTTCCGGCACTCTCCGACACTCTGCGGTACTCTCCGGCAACTCTCCGGCACGCAGCGGCACTCTCCCACAAATCTCTGGCACTCTCCGGCACTCTCCGGCACTCTGCGGCACTCTCCGGCACTCTGCGGCAACTCTCCAGGGCTCTCCGGCACTCTGCGGCAACTTACCCGCACTCTCCGCAACTCTCCGGCACGCAGCGGCACTCTCCCACAAATCTCTGGCACTCTCCGGCACTCTCCGGCACTCTGCGGCAACTTTCCGGCACTCGCTGGCAACTCTCCGGCACTCTCCGGCACTCTCCGGCAACTGTCCGGCTTTCTCCGGCACTCTCTGGCACTCTCCGGCACACTGCGGCAACTCTCCAGCAACTCTCCGGCACTCTCCGGTACTCTCCGGCAACTCTCCGGCTCTCTCCGGCACTCTCCGGCACACTCCGGTACTCTCCGGCAACTCTCCGGCACTCTGCGGCATCTCTCTGGCACTCTCCGGCACTCTCCGGCACCCTGCGGCAACTCTCCGGCACTCTCCGGCACTGCGGTACTCTCCGGCAACTCTCCGGCACACTCCGGTACTCTCCGGCAACTCTCCGGCACTCTTCGGCAACTCTCCGGCACTCTGCGGTAACTCTCCGGCACACTCCGGCACTCTCCGACACTCTCCGGCACTCTGCGGTAACTCTACTGCACTTAACAACACTCAGCGGCACTGTACGGCCTTCGATTAGGCTCGAAAACACTTGAAAAACGCGCGAAAACGATCGATGACGCTCGACAATGCTCGAAAAACGATCGATAATGCTCGAAAACGCTTGAAAAACGCTCGACATTGCTCGAAAAAGTTCTAAAAACGTGTGAAATACTCGAAAAACGCTCTATGACGCTCGAAAACGCTCTGAAAATGCGTGAAAACGCTCGAGAACGCTCTGAAAATGATCGAGAAACGCTCGAAAACGGTCGAAAAACGCTCGAAAACGCTTGAAAACGCTCGATAATGCTCGCAAACACTCGAAAACGCTCGAAAACGTTCTAAAAACGTTCGAAGACACTCGAAAACGCTCGATAACAATCGAAAACACTAGAATATCACTCGATAACTCTCGAAAACGCTCTGAAAATGCGTGTAAAAGCTCGAAAATGCACTGAAAATGATCAAGAAACGCTCGAAAGCGTTCGAAAACTGTCGAAAAATGCTCGATAACGCTAGATAACGCTCGAAAACGTTCGAAAACGTTCAAATACGCTATAGAAACGCTTGAAAATGCTCGATAACGCTAGTAGTGAAATGTAAAAATCATACACGAAATGACTCGGCTTACATCCCCAGTTAAGTAACCCTCGGGAGGATTTTTCGCAGTATTCGACTCTCACGCATACTCGTCGAGTGTAGCGCCGAACGCACACATACTCAACGTCTCGACCCGTGTTTGACGCTTGACTGGTTGGGACGCGCGAAGATTTCTAGGAGCGATCGCACTCACACAGATTCGCTGCATGAGAGTTCCGTACGCGACACCGACGTGTGCCCCAAAGCTCCGCATCACGTCGACTTCGAGGCAACAATGTACTTAACACTTTACCGAACGGAAGCCTATTAATCGATTTTGCGATACCCGTGATCGCCATTTACTTCCAAATTCACCGGTCGGTAAAGTGTTAATAGTAGTGGATAAGTAGTAAAGTCAAATGGAGCGTCACGAGTGATCTTCCCTTACCATCAAAAACGAGCAGTGTCGGTAAGCGTAGGTAAGCCACCATCGTCAACTGCCGCATGGTATTACCGTCACGGGTACGTGAGCCGCCAATGATGACTGGTTGATGGCACCGCCATCGAGTGTGCGCGATCCCCTACTAGAAATTCGTTGCGCCGCCCTTGGGGGCAAAAAACGGTGAAAGCTCACGTACGAAACCAGAGGGCAGCACAGGATGCGATCGCACCACCCTGCCCGTGAGCAATCTCCCAACTCATCTCTGCTCATCTCTGCAGCAGAATGGAGAAATTTTTTCTGTACGTTCGCTGCCAGCGCCGCCATCCGTTGGCTAACGTACTATTTATCGAGCATCGAATGTCTGTATCCTTCAGTGCTTCTATGGAGACCTCTGAATTCTTTGCTTGAGATATTACGCATTTAAAGTGCCGATTTTACGGTCGTTCCTAACCGCATTCGAGCTGTCGTTATTTATTGTAACCTTTTTGAAACAAAATCAATCTGTTGTTTATTATTTCTTACTGTTTTCTTTGATAAAGTTATTTATTTTCGTTGTCTTCTATGTAACGTATCAATGAATTAAAATGAATAATGCTCCAGATCCAAAAGATGTTCAGGTATGTACTCGTTAACGGATAGTTCGCATAGAAATCTTAATGTTAAGGTAAGAGACCCTATGGAAGAAGTAAGTAAATTATGAAGCAATGCCGATATGATATAAATGTTTCTATAGAATTTAAAATAAAGTATTATATGGAATGCATCTATGTTTTCAGGAGTTCCTGTTTAAGCAGTTCAGTACTCGAAGGATATGCGATAATCAAGTAACAGTTTCTCCAGCGTGTAGTCTTTTAGCTGCTGATGGAAAAAGAGGACTTCTTTATGTAGCTTATGATAACAAGATCACAGTTTTAAAAGGAGGAAGTCATTCAGAATTGGAACAAAAAGTGGAACATGTTCTTCCTAACACAATATGTAAAATTTCTTTGAGCTGTGATTGTAATTACATAGCCGTTACATTGCTTCGACCAGCAGCATTCATTTATAATGCAAGTTCATTTGTAAAAAAGGTATGTATCTTTTTCTCATAATCGAACATTTTTATAAATTTAAACACAGATTAAATAAAATTACTGCATTTTTTAGGATTTAGTTTTACTCCACGAAATTAGGTTATCTTCATCTAATGAAGATGTTATAGTCTTTGATCTACGATGGAATCCCTGTATATCGGGTATGCTTTGTACAGTTGCGAGTGATCATACAGTAGGGAGTGTTCACGTGAAAGGAGATCAGAAACCTACTGTGGGAATTACTGCATTGGAAAAATTACATGGTCTTGAAGCATTATGTGCAGCATGGAGTCCAAAGGGCAAACAAATTGTTATTGGTTGTAAAAGTGGAAATATTGTACAATTGAAACCTGAGTTAAAAATTGTTAGAACGATCAGTGGTCCAGTTCCTAATATTGGTGGAATTATTGCTATTTTGTGGATTAGCAACTATCAATTTTGTGCTGCTTTTTTGGATCCCAACGATTTGCGGATAAATGTCTTAATCATTGATGCTCCAAAGGGTGAAACAACCGCAAAATTTACGTGTTATGAAGACATCACTTATGGATTACCAGAAATTGACAACGGGGGATCCAGTCCTCGTTATTATTTTGATTATGTAGCAGAATGGGGGTTAATCATTGCGGCGAGTAGTAATAGCAGTGAAATAGCTATTTTGGGATCTCCAAATGGTGGACTTCTATGGGAACAGTGGTATTTGGTAGACAGTGGCCGAGCTCAATTACCTCTTATTCGCACCAGTGAAAGTTATCCAGTAGGAATAAGTGTGGATAGATCAAGCACTCAGAAGCTACCATGGGGTACCGATAGTACGTTACCCAATGCTGTGCCTGTTCTTCACATCTTCAGTACATCTGGACAATTATGTAGCTTCCACATGGTAAATTTGACACAAAACTGCCCAGCAATTTGCTCTCCTCCAATTGAAGCAGTTTCACTTCCAGAACATTTAGAAATAACAAATTCAATACCTTCAGAAATTTCATTTAACATAAATAGTGGATCAACAAGTACACCGAGACCAAAACAGGCAGATGTCATAGAGAGGCCGAAAACTGTTCCAAATGTAAATCTCTTTGGAAGCAATATAAAAAATACTGCCCCACCTCCACCCCCCATTACTATACCCGAAGTGAAACCATTGCAGCCACGAATAGAGAAAACAGAAACACCACAATTGCCAGAAGTCAAACCTCCACCTGTAAAGGAAGTGACTCAATCAGAAAAACCACTTATCGATTACAGTATATGTATACGTGCATACGAAGAAGAACAAATTCAATTTGAAAAAGAATTAAGCAGCAGATTAGAAACCCAAGTGTTTGAAATCGGTAATGATAATGAACGAAAACAATTAGGTGAAGTATCTGTAGTGATGGACCAGTTTCTAAAAGATTTACGTGAAACCACTGACAGTTTGGCCACTGATATTGCTTATTTAAAAGCACTACTTTTACAATCATTCGCATGGTTGGAAGAAACCAAATCGAAAGAAGTAGCTAATGTTAATGAGAGTAACCAAAGACGCAGCGATAATGCTAAATTGTTGGAATTACAACGACTTTTTTACTATACCCAATCACAATTAGCCCAAGCCACTAAAGCCTTAGACATGGAATGGGCCGAACATGAGAATCATACAAAGTTGAAGATGAAGATGCCAAGCTTAGAATTTGTATATCAAACTCTTCTACGACATTCTCAAATTATTGCAAAACAGAGAAATATTATCCAACAACAAACAAGAAAGTGGAAATCAATTGAACGTGGGAATAATGTTTCAGAACTGAATCGATCAATGGGAAATTTACAGCTGACCCTACCTTCCGCGGCTACTGATTTTACTAGTAAAGGTGGGGTAATAGACTTACGATGTAGAGCGATTGCAAGCAAAACGCGTAGTTTTAGTCAAGAAAAACAAAAGAAATTAAGAAGTCTGCTGTCTAATTTGGTGCCAACAACCATTAAAGCTATCGATCCTTCTCCAGTTCAGGATCGATTAGAGGCAACATTATCCTCATTAGCATCTCTCAGCCCAGTCAGTATGGAAACAAAGAATAAATCTACTCGAAGCTCAATAGAACAGAAATCACTGCGAGAACGTTTAGAAGAAAAAACAATCAACGAACAGAGTCCTTTGGCTTCGTTGAATAACATAGTTGGTAGAATTGGCATGCCAACCATGAACGATACATCGATACAAGCTAGGACACAAATTAAAGTACCTTCTGTTATTTCCACTCCAGCCTTCGCAAATAAAATGGTCCAACCCAATGAAACTAAACCAAGTATTGGCATTTCTCCATTAGCTGTTCAATCTAAATCAAAACAAAATACTGGAATATTATTTGGTCACCACTCCACCCCGAGTACCCAAGCTCCTATTTTAGCTCAAGCTGGCACCAATATTGGAGCTCTTAATTTCACAGTTCCGCCTCAAAAGCCAGGTGAAAGATCCTCGCACATGTTGAAGGAGATATTAAAAAACGAGGCTAAAACATCAAGTGCTTCATCTAAACCTGAAATAAGTTTCACTTCCCAAATGGCTTCAAAGAATATCGTCGTACCATCGGTGGAGCAAATCACAAAAACTCCAGCGCATCCTACTACAATAGTTTCAGCACCTCCATCAAAACCTCAGACCTCGTTCAGTTTTGCCAATGCCACCAGTTTAAACACAATCATGAAAAGTCCAACAATGAAAAATATAATATCAGCTACCGCAAGCTCTTCGGTAGAAGTACCAACTGTAATGAAGCTGAAAGAATACACCTCCACGATTTCCGCTTCCGTAAAGACGGATCAACCGTCAGGGAAATCCCCGGCACAAGAAGCTCTAAATTTAAGTGGATTGTCTCTAGGTCTTCAATCTCCTGGAGTAACGATGCCACATCCAAACAATGCATCTGGTGATGCAAAGCCAATTGGCTCTCCAGAAGCTTCGACAGGGCAGATGGCTGTAAAAATGACTACACCACCGACGCAAGTTTTTGGAACAAATTTCGGTTCACCGCAGACATCTACCGGAGTACCATCACCACCAGTATCCAAAATAGTCTTCAACGTGCCCTCTAATAACTCTCCCACAAACAATTTCCTAGCAAATCGTCTTTTTGATGGTACTGCAGCTCCCGCGACGTCCTTCTTCGGTAATACTTCTCCTCAAGTAGTGACACCTCCCCAAGGGTATCAAAATACAGCTACGACAAGTTCAACATCGGTTCCATTCGGAGGGATTGGCACCGTTTCTTCTGGAGCACCTACGTTCAATGTCGGGTCCATAAGTATTTCAAATGCATCAGCATTTTCTGGTTCACCTACAGCTGGAACAGCGAATAAGCCTACCTTTGGCCAAGGTTCGGTATTTGGTGATCTGTTGAACAGTACCTCGAGTGCCCTGAACTTTGGTACGGCTACCTCGATAGCACCGGCCTTTGGAAAAGCTGATCCATCTCTTTCGACGACCTCGCTATTTGGAGCTGCTTTAAAAACACCAACGACGACGTCTGTCTTCGGACAGACTACCACAAGCTCGCCATCCAACGTCTTCGGCACAGTCTCTGGAGGAGCATCCAGCAATGCACCTGTTTTCGGAACTACGCCTACCACTTCAGCCAATGTATCCATCTTCGGCGGAACCTCCGCAAGCACGACAACCGGGTCTGTCTTCGCAGCTAACCCAACTACTACTACCACCAGTAGTTTAATATTTGGAGGTAACACCTACACGACTACGGCGTTCGGAACACCTGCTGGAACGCCTTCAGTTTTTGGAGCATCTCCGCCAAAGTCCACTACATCCGTATTCGGAGCGCCTGCTCAAGGATCCCCAACAATGGTAAGTGGTGGTCCTGCTGGCACCCCAGTTATACCAGCAGGTGGAGAAGCCTCGATTGTTCAGGGCGCAACGTCCACGTTCGGTCAAGCTTCAACATTTGGAGCCAAACCTGTATTTGGAACACAAGCACCCGTTTTTGGGGCCGCGAAATCAACATTTGGGTCTACTGCTTTCGGAGGTAACGTGTTCGGAGGTGGCTCCACGGCGTCAAGTAAGTGTTACTATCTTTCCATGTATTAGGATAAATTCTAATTCTTCAAAATAAATCTTATTTCCTAAAAATGTCACTTTTTTGTAGGTTTTGGAGGTCCACCTGCTATGGGTACCAGTACTTCACCTCTAGGAGGTAATAACATGCCCAACGTATTCGGCGCTACGACAGGTAGCACCACATTTGAATCTTTGGCTGGTCAAAGCGGTGGGCTCACTTTTGGCAGTCTGGCACAGAAAACCACAGAACCCGAAAAACCTCAGTTTTCAGGGTATTGTATATAACGAATTGTTGCGTCATAGGTGTACGTAAGAAATGAGACATCATGAAATGTTACTGTTACAGAGGGAGTTCGTTTTCGAGCTGGCGGTAACCTGAAAAGAAATTAATCCCTGCGTCGTGCTGCCCCTAGTTGTTGTCGAGCAGGTCGAAAATCAAAGCTGGGCCGAATCATCAATGCATTACTTTTTTTTTTACTTGATATAGAGTGCTATTTTATCAATTTCTAAAACTTGTATCAAAGCGACGAAGATATTTCCGTTCGTTCGATGTTTAGTCGACGAGACTTAATAAAGAATCGTACTAAATACCAATCAATTGTTATGATTCAGTTATATAATTCCTTGTAAATGTACGAGTACATATCAAATACCTCTCTTAATTGGCTTAGGTGCAATTGATACTTTGATGGGCTTGCAAAGATCTATTACGCAGGGATCGTCGATAGAAGGATGCGTGCAAATTGAAGTGCACGGGACGAGAAGTGCCAGTGAGATTTCAATGTTACACGCTTCCATCCAAACTTGATGCGATACCAGTACCGTGGTCCTCAGTCTGTAGTCATTTTGTTCAGCACCTTGTAGTCGTAGATCCGAGTGCCGAGGTAATATCAATTGCACTTGCTGGTCCGGATGTCGCAATTTGACCCGCAGCGTGCTGGGATTCCGAAGATTGAATATCTTCGCAGTCAGAGGAATGCCTAAGAGCAGACCACCGGTGAATTTTAATGCGGCATCTGCATCACCTCTGGGCTCTTCGATGTAGGCTCGACAGAGCCGAGTAGCTGCCGAAGGTCGTGGAAGTCGTTCTTCTCCTTGACTCGGTTGAGTCAGGAGCAACGGCAGAAGAAGACGCGTTAATGATCCAGGTTTCGCCTCTATAAGAGACGGCAAATGAAGAACCAACGCTCTGGAAAAGGGTGGTAGTTTTGACGAATCTTGAGGTAGTGCGTCGGCTTCCATTAAGAAATGCCTAGCAAGGGGTACTGCACTCCCGGTAGCACCTCTGGTAACTCGAATTAACTCCACCGCCAACGCTTTCAACCAAACGTCATTCGCCAACACGACGTCATTCTCTTCCAATCCGGAAAATAATCGTTGTAATCTGAAAAGGAAAAAAATTATTCAACGCCAATAAGAAAAGTATGTTAGAAAACGTAGCATTTTGTGCTGATAAACCAGTGAAATAAAATCCAGCAAGACGAGTGTACTTACTTTTGAGTGTGTTGAAGAAGTAGAAAAACATTGCTAGCAGCGGTTGTTGCTGATGACGCAGTTACGGCATTTGTCGGTGATGCGGAAAGCTCATTAATAACAGTCCGAAGTAAGAGAAGACAACGGATGTAAAGAGCTGTGAATCGAGCGGCGCCTTCCATATGACGGTCCATTTCTGCCAAACGATCTAGATCTACTGCTGCCGCTTCCAGTAATTGCGTATGCACTCTGCCACCAGGTCTTGCTGCTTCGACTCCTGTTACCATTCCCTCCAAAAATTCCCTACCTCGACGATCCCTCGATTCTTCATTTTCATCGTATTCTTTGCCTTGTCGTGGTCCATCGGTAAGAACTGGTCGTAACCTAGGTACCAAATGTGGCATAGTGTCCCGTAAGTAATGGTAGTGTTTGGCTGCATGTTCGGTAAACAGCGCATGCATACTTGGGCAATGCAATGCAGCGTTAAAGATCAGTACCAGAACACTAGCGTCTATATTTCATTAAGGATATTAAAACAACTTAAATAATAAATCATGTACTTGACAACGAACGATCACGAGAAATTTTTGAAGGATACAAGAAGGCTCATCTACATCTGGTTCAGGTGTGTCGAAGAATGGGTGCCGTCCAAGTAGTTGCGGTACCAAGGGCAATGTTAGGTACGGATGAGAAGCTCCTAATGCTGCCAAGCAACTCCTGACACTTTCTCTGTCCTGAGGATACCTTGCTAAATTGTCTAGAAGACGGTTAACGCACATGTGGAGACAATTTCGAGTAGCCACATGACTCGCAGCAAGAGTAGCATGTAGTCCTTCTCTTACTTCACCAGAAAAGTCTTCCAACGCGCCAAGAATTGTCTCCAATTGGTCTTCTCTAAGAACAACGCTTGCAGACATTTTTCTTAAGGATTCGATTGCTCTTAATCGAACATCTTGTATTTCGTCATTGAACATGTCAACCATAAATTCTAAAGATATTCTTGCTATACTAGGCTGTTCTAGGGACAGAGAACAAAGAGCTTCCACTGCTGAAGTCCGTACCTTGAAAAAAGTGAAAATTATATGTTACTGCTATTATTGCACCGATAAAAACATGTAGTATGTAGGCATATTGGACCAACTTCTAAAAATTCGTCTTCCAGTCCATGTATAAATGCTCCACAAGATCCACTTCTTTCTTCGACTTCTGAACCTTCGTCTTCGACTCTCTTTTGCTTTTTATCTAAAGCTTGTTCAATATAACGTCGAGATACTCCCTTCATGGTTCCCAATAGTGACATAGCAGCAGCTCGAACTTTTGGGGACAAGTCACCCATTAAACCACAAATCCGAGAAAAAGCACAGTCAACCATTCGCACGTCTTCTCCATCCGTGCCAACAACGATGCTAATAAAAATAGAAAATATATTACATATTACTAATGTAATTAATAAATTTGAGAATCGGGAAAAGATTAAGACTGTTCAATACTTGTCAGGATATTCATTGCCCAATAGCCAAATTAATTTGAGTACAATGCGACGAACGATTTCGTAATCATCACGTAAGGCTGCGCATGCTTCAGAAAAAAAGCTTGCGGGAAGTCGAAAACCTCTTTCAGAGTGTAGTTCTGCCATCGTTTCAAAGGCCTGAGCACGAACTCGAGGATCCTGTGATCGAGCGTAATTCCCTACGAGCACTAATGTATCATCAGCAGCATTAGTAGATAAATACCGACCAATAATGGAAAGGCACCGTGTTTGTACGCCGTGCCATGTATCAGGTAAATGCTCTCGAGCAACTTTTAACACAAGGCTCCTGTATGTTATAAATAAATATGTTTTTTATCTATATAAAAGACGGATCAAAACTTAATGTTAGTTATAGATTTACATACTTGTGAAAATCACCCAACTTCAATAATGTCGCAAGTCCTTGACTTTTTACTCTATGGGACTCTTCGGTCTTAAGTAAGTTTGCAGTTTCATTAACAATATTGGTTTTCTCAGCAACATCTGAAATAACTTCTCCCAACTCTGCAAATATCCAAAGAATTTTTGCACGGGCTGCCGCCTCTGACTCCACAGAATATCTTTCCGCTAATCGTCTTACTGCTATAGGCACATCCTCGGGTCTCATTTGAGGAACTATATCGGATATGCGAACGAGTAACTGTAGAGCATCATTTCCACCTTTACATTTTTCTAACAATTCTATGTATGCCAGTGCAGAACTTGCTTCCGAACCCAGTCCATTCTTAGTGGTTCCAGTTAAAAGTCTGGACACTCTTAACCTCTTTGCCGGTGGTTCTGTTACTACCTGTCAAATAATTTTACATATATTTCCATTCCATATTATTTAAATGAACATAATATTATTTGCAGAACTCCTGAAATAACTCAATGTTCTTCCAAGAATGAACTATTCAAAATTTTAACCTAATATAACCTAGAAACTTTACTACTACCTCAATTCTTTGTAAACGTACCTGACTTTGAGTGAATTCTGCCAGCACTCTCTTTTTCATTAATGCTGCCATTTTAGTTGAATATCAATATTTTCTTTCTAAAATATCGATTTAGAAATGTAATCATTTACATGAAAACCACTTTACTTTTTCAGTTGTCTTCAGTTCATGCTCCAACTGTACCTATTCGAAAACATTCAAAAAATAAATACAAGATCGTAAATCTATCTTCCAGATTCTTCAGTAATACATGTTAATAGAATAATTGGTTTCAGTGTCAGTTTTGCATTCAAATTACAGGTAAATTATTGAAAACTAAGTTAGTCTAAATGTATTACTAAAATTGTCTTTTGAGTTTCCTCATCACCTGTCAACTGTACTCGAAAGAGTGACGGGAGTGACGTGCACATTGCTAGGACTGCCAGTAACAAAAATTCAATGCAGCAACCAAAGTCAATAACAAACTAGTAAAGGGTCTATTCTTATTTAACCATTGCCCTTGTGCCTGTGGAACATGGTAAATAGTGAAAGTGCTTTACTGACTACTTTTTCAGTACTTTCTACCTGCGAATTATAAGTGCAGTGACATAAAATCCAATATGGCGACGGAGATCAATAAAGAACTGTCAAGGTTACAGGTAGTCTGCAATGCTCAGGCGATTCACAATTTTCGTGAATGAGCGCCCACCTCCACTTTTAGAGGCATCGGAGATTAAACTGGCAGAGGCTAAAGTGATTTAAAATATGTACTTATGGAATTATTAGTTAATTAATATTGAACACAGTCTGGTTTTCCTTACCGAGCGGTAATGTACCTGGTGTCGATGGAAAAGTAAAGTTAAGAATGAAACAGACTTTTCATACATTTTAAAGGAATTGTCACGCTCTTCTAAGTGGTTCCTAATAGAATAACTCAACGAAACCGCAAGGTTTTAAACACGAACGTTTTTGTCAGATGTGCTTTTAATATGGACATTTTTGAGACGATTTTTGTATCCATAATCACATTCATCTGTGGTATAGTATGTACGTTGCTTTTGGAATTCTACGTTTTCAAGAAATATTTGGAAGCAGCTCCTGAAGCGAGTCCACCCAGAAAACCGTTACCTCATGGAAAAGCAATATTTCCTAAGGAACTCCTAAATGATTTGGAGCAGGAAAAGTCGAGTATCACTGGTACGCCACGGCGGGATCTGTCCCAGGGTAATGAGAATCTTGCAATTAATCTTACTCTCCAGTTTCTTTTTAATGAACTTAAAAACGCAGAACGCGTACGTTTATGGATGTATCGAAAGCTGAATAATGAGTTCAGGGAACTTCTCACTCAAACCACTACCGGAAAACTTTTTGACAGCATTCAGGTATGTTTCGAATTTAAAATATTTATTATTTAAACGTATTTTAACTGACAATCAGTTTAACTTATAAGTTTTTCTTCCAGCTGCGGGATCTACATCTTGGCACACAGTTTCCTACTATAAAGGGACTGGAAGTTGCGGATGCAAAAATCAACGCCGATACTGGTTTACTCGAAACTTTAGATCTTTCATTAGATTTACATTATTCTGGTAATTTTCAACTTTCAATCGATGTGAAGATGTTATTAGGGAAAACAGCATATATGGCTCTGCAAGGTATGACCAAAATAATTTTATTAGTGTAAATAGATTTAAAGTAATAAAATATATTTTGTTTTTTCAGTGAAGCGTGTTACTGGCAGAGCTAGATTACAGTTTACTCGTGTTCCATATACTCATTGGTCTCTTAGTTTTTATTCAGATCCCATTTTGGAACTAGAAGTACAATCCCAATTTCAGGGACGTCAATTACAACCACAAATTGTTTCTCTTATCATAGGTCAAATAAGACGAGCAATTCGTCGAAAACATACGCTTCCTCGTTATAAAATGAGATATAAACCATTTTTCCGCAGACTGAATGATGAAGATATTGATTTGACTGATGTATGTAAAAGTTTAAAACATTAGTTTTCGTTAAAAAATTCTCATTATCCAGTATCTTACACTTTACATTCCTTAGGTGGCAGGTATACACGTTACTCCAGGACAATTGGAAGTGCATTTATTAGAAGTCAGCCGATTAAATTTCTCATCGTGCAAGTTTAACGTAGAAGATTTATCACAAGCTGAAATTTATTGTACTATGAGCGTTGATATGACACCTTGGGTCTACCTCACACAGTACAACGAAGTACCATATATGGTGCTTGATCTAATCGTCAGTAAGACTAGTTCTCAGCAGCTCGGTGTTGTATTCAAGCAAGAAACTGTTCCAGAAGTAGGACTAAATTGCGTCCTTGTCGAGACTATCGTTGCTGGAAGCCCAGCAGCTATTGCTGAAATGAGGAAAGGTGACATATTAGTTGCCGTTGATGGAAAGAAAGTATCAAATATGAACCAAGTTGCCAAACTTGTCAAAAGTGCAGCTCAAAGAAGGTTTATCATAAGAGTCGAAAGGAAGTATGTCAGGTTTGATTTTGATAGGCACAGTTCACTGAAATCTGACACCGAAAGAGTTTCGTTTGATAAGAGTGTAGATAAGAAAAGCGCAAAGGGTGATTACACAAGTGGTAAATCCGATGTGCCAAATACAGAAGACAATTATAAAACGAAATTTGAAGGACTAATTAAATTCTCCGATTTAAAAGATTCCGATTATGAGACAACGGACAAAAGTGAACCAGTTAATAAGTTATTCAAAAGAAGACGAAGCAGCTCACATCTAAACTCAGACGATGGTACTCAGACCCCAGAATCTCCATTTAGAAGAATCTCGACATGTTCCAATCAATCGACAACCTCTAGTAATGCACCAACGTCCAGTGCAGATGATAATTTTGTACCAAATATGACAGATTTATATTATACTACAAAGGATAAAGCTCTTGCCTCTTCAATCACGTTTGAAGAATCTAGAAGTTTTCAAATAGATTCCGAACTTCAGTATTTAAACATAGGAATATGGGTGCGAGTCAAAGGCAGCGAACATTTACCAAAACTATTAGGTTACATTAATGCTCCGATAAAACTTATCCTGGCTCAATGTTCTACATCTACAACCGGTCACTATGTCAAATGCTATGCTTTATTACCGCCTGATACAGGTATTTTCTTTTAAATAACAATTAGTGTTTATACAATTTTGTTCCATTTTCTAAAAGATTAACTAATTTATTGTTTTATATTAAAGCTTCTCCTACTACATCTGATACGAAGTTACAAGGATATTCAGGCTTTGACCCAACACTTTGCTATGGAGACGTTCTCTTGTCTTATATATGGACCTCTAATCATGGTCGGTCCAATCGAACTACCACAGACTTTGGTAAAAGAGAAGTGACAGAAACTGTAAAAACTCCGTCAACCCTAAATGACGAAAACGTTGATAAGAAATTACATGATTTTATTAGAACACATTTTCACCGAGTGACACATTGTGACTTCTGCTCAAAAAAGGTATCATGTTATATTTAAAACAAAAAGTAGAATTTGTACAAACTAAAAAGATATGATAGGTAATTTAAAATTCTTTATCGTAGATTTGGCTGAAGGATGCCGTACAGTGTCGTGACTGTGGGATGGTATGTCATAAAAAGTGCGAAATTCGCTGCCAAGCGTCTGGGGCTTGTGGTGCCGAAAGTGTCACCTCTTTAGCTTTCGAGGCCGATGAAGTCGACCCTAACATAGTCGGGACGGAGATGGGACCGGAGATTTCTCTTACCGGTTGCGAAGATATTGTTCAGGTACTGAACACGTAGTAAAAAATACAGATCATTCTCGTTAATATTTACATTTCAACATTGCGGACATACTTGGTTTAAACGACTGAACATTAATTTATCGTTAAGTTAATTTATGAACGTCGAACCAGTCCGGAAGAATCTAGTCAAAGGGAAATTAAGACGAGTAACTTCCGTTCTTGATTCCCTTACGTTTTACATATCCGTGGAAATTGTCTTCCTTTTTTATACTGTACCGTTTGAGGGTGTCAAATAATTTGGTACTAATGTGCACGATAGAGTCGCATCGACCACTATCCTGGGATTGTCAAGGATCGGATGACATGAAACTTGACAAATCGTAGTTTTATAAACTTGTTAATTAATGACAATCCAATTGATGAATTAAAAGAAGTAGAGTAATATTTTAGAATTTTTTTAGACGTTTTTAAATCTACATCAGAAACTGATCGTCTCAGGTGGCTTTGGTCGGTGGATCAGGCGATTCATTCGTGACGTAATCAGTGTCCTTTTGGGCTCATGTAAATATAGCGGGATTGTTAAGCATGATCTACTATTATTGTTGACAATAAAACATGATCATCCGCACTGCCAAGGTGAAGGTTTTTTGTAGGCTTGCACCTTGCCCCAGCCACTAATACACGGAGTGTTTATAAAGTATTAATAAGCCACGGAAAGAGATCTGTTATCGTTATAAGTGCCATCGTGCTTGAAGTTTGGAACGTAAGAGACATTCAAGATCAGTCATTTGGAAGGCGGTAAAAACTTAATTCAATAATTGATTAAATAGCGCTAATTCAAAAGTTCAGTGAAATGAGGTTCCGAGAATGCACAAGTCAAAGGAAAGGACTCAGTCTCGTTTACTTTTGCAATACCGATTAGTCATTCTAACCTAAACTTCAACCACATAAACACACGCGACTCTAGAAAAAATTCGACCGGACAATAAATTACTCAGCGCGAGTAAGTACTTTATGAATGCTCTGCAATTGTACCGTAGAGAGCTAGAGAGAAGCCTGTCGATCACATTCGAATACATCATTTGATCGATCAGGGAGCGAGTATGGTGGCCATGAAGGCCAGCATAGCTAACACTCTGTTGGGTCTGAAGAAGGCCGGAAGTACCAGTTGTCTATCCCCGCCGACTTCCGGTATCGGCTTGGCGTCTAGAAGTCTTCCCCCGAGTCCCTGTGCATCCCGCAAGGTAGAATTCGGTATATAAATAACTATTGGAAAAGAGAGTTTTACCAAGGCATATTCGTTTGCTAAATTACTATTTACAATAATGGGTTTCAACCAACAAGGATGTCCCTTGGTCATTCTCTATTTTCCGTTCGAGGAGAGGAAACGACAAACGTTCTGAGTGCCAAAAAATGAAGTTTCGGTGAGCCGTGTTATCGAGAGATTCGATAGATTAACCGGAATAGAATTATGAAGTAAACTTCATTTATAAAAAATGGTCCTTACGACGTTCGACGTGCCCATTCTTTACTTAACGCTTTAATATCTTTTTGCTTACGCATAAATAAACTGAGCCGCTCTAACTAAAATTTAGCATTAACAACTGCTTGGTCTAACTCTATTGCTTTGTTGATATATTCAGGAATAGAACGATCCTAAGGTTCAGCTTGATCGATTTGCTATATCGCTTCGTCTTTATGCAATCGACGGCTTAAAAATAGCGGTTAATTGATTTCAGGATTATTTGAATGCATATCAATTTATGTTAACAGGTTCGCTGTGATCTGGCCTATCGATGGGTCATTGTTTGTAAGGAAACTCATTGACGTGTATATCAGAATACTTAGAAAATTGATCTACTGGCGAGTTAAAGGAATTTTAGCCAATCTTACATTTCCTTGGATTTGGCAAGTGCGTCAAACTGGCCGTGCTAATTGCACGTGCCTAGTAACTACGTCAGTAAGATGGACCAAACTCAAATTGATAAGTTTTTCATCAGAGCATCACGTATACGCGTTTTACATGGAAAATTTCGTAAACATTTCAAAGAAGCGGTATAAAGGTACCAGTGTCTTGTTGTCGTTTTTATCTCACAGAAATCGGGTAAGGGCAGGCCTTCTAAAAACTTATTACGTTTGAGTATGTGATTTGACATGTCAGTTTGTCATATGTTGGAATCGGGAATTTAAGAATAAAACGTAAGGATACCTGAAAAAATAACACACCAGGAGTATTCGCCGGTGTACCTCGACGAGCTCTTGTCGATTGGTCGCGGCATATTATTTTTCATTTCAAATTTCTAGGTATTCTTTCCAATGAGGGCATTCCTTTTAAGCTGCATTTAGGATACTGATATATTATCGCATTTAAACATTCTTATCGTGTATTTGATTAAATGATGTAGAGTTCTCTCGTGGGAGGACTGGGAATAAGTTCGGACCTTTTGGAAGGAGCCGAGCCAAGTGTGGCTACTCCTCTGATCGCCGGAGAATTGGATGATGGACTCATGTCAAGAGCCAAGGACACGGGAAAGTTTCTCTACAAGGACCTGGAACACCAAGAACGCATTGATAAAATCAACGAGATGGTAAGAACATACCGCTTGACTTAATGACTAAAAATCTATATCTAAAATGTAAATGGAAAATGAATTGCTAACCGGGTTTTCCTATTTCACGCAGATCGGAAAACTGAAGACTGCACTCGACGTGGAGACTACCTCAAGACTGGAACTATCTCAGAACGGAGATACGGATAGCGCCAAATTAATAGCACAAAGCGACTTAAGAGTGCAAGCACTGAGCGTATTGTTATTGCATTACTGCACCGGTTTGCAGCACGCCCAGGAAGCCTTAGACCGTTTTCAAGACAAAAGAAACTCGTAATTTGTTTAAGAGAGTAACCGACAAAGAAATTCAAAGATGGTTTAGATTCAATTTATCTAGTCGAGTATAAATATATATATGTAATATAGGATGATATATAGTCAATTCAAGAGCATAGGGAAGGGATGTTATACATATTCATATACATACATTATAGGAAGAGGTCATTGTTTCTATGAAGATGGATTTTAAATACCTATGCCGATGCAATTATTTGCATTTTGCAGAGATAATACGTGTTCAGCCAATATTTTGATGCATGGAAAATCTACGTGTCGCTGAACCACGTTGCTAAATTTATCTCGAACTGGATGTTTATTATAGATTGGAGAAGGCCGCGTGATTCGACACGGTCATGTTGATGTGTGCACTGATTATACCGAGGAGCACTTGAGACACCGGCAATTAAAACACGGTACATCGTAACAAAGCGTTGCTGCAGTATCCGGGGTTTAATATTTACTACTGATATCGATATTTACGTTTCAATCTATTCGTGTTAAACTTTTAGCCGATGTTGCCACTTGTGGACATTTAAGACGCAAGTACTCGTACTTTACAATCACTTATTTTTCTGCCTGGATAATATTCGACGCATTCGTCGTGCAGCCGTCACTGTATTCCAGAGAACACCAAATGCTAAGACTTACTCGATCATATGTATATTCGTAGAAAATTCAACCCAATTACGTATTTTACCGCAACCGTGTATCGTATATAATGCATAGTTTAATAATGGTAATTGTACTCAATTCCTAGGTCGTAAGGTGCTCGATATTTTTGGGACTCTTGTTTCCGTAGCTTTATTATATAAATATGATGCGCATGCTCATTAAACGCATACTTAAAAACTGCAAAAACTCAATTATCAACGAACAACTTTGGATTAAATACTCAATTATTAATGTTACTTAAAAGCTAAGTGTCAGATAATAAACAGCCTATATATAGTCCATCCATAGACAAGCATCGAGCTCGTTGAGATGTCAATGTAAAAAATGAGTGTACCGTGATTTATTGTTACAAAATAAAATTAATTCTCGTGCGCCAAAGCTATTTCATTATCCGGTGATTCCCTTAAAACGAATTGGTCAGGTTAAATCCATCGGTTAGAAATTAGTAGATATAAAAGAGATAGAATCAGTTCTTAAGTTTGTAATTTTATGCGATGAAATGACGTACATGTTGTCGCTGTCCACGAATGTTCGTCGTCGCAAAGAAAGATTTTCCTAAATGAGACTTACCGGAGCCAAAAACTCATTCGCCTCATTACAAGCGGGAAATATGACGCAGAGACCATTGCGGTTCCAAGTGCGATACAAAATTCACAGAACTGATCATATCTAAAGTCTCATACGTTGTACACTGACAGACATGAATGCTCTCCTATCATACACAGGCCGCACAATTTCCTTAAGGCATTTACGTCGTCTACAATAAAGGAAGCAGTCGTTAATTGTAAACAAAGAGAATCTTTTGTCAAACTACAAACAATGAAATCAAACGCCGTCCAATGTCTTCTTACAACTAGGAAACGTGACGCATAAAGTATAATGGTTCCGAGTGAAGAATCTCGCGTCCTTGACGTTTACAAACTTTGGGATTGGTCGGAGAGAGTAAAATTTTCCAGAATAGAATTAACGAAGCGGAATCTCCTCCTCTTTTCACACTTGGAAATATGATAAAAAGTAATGAATAATGTGGCTGTACCGATAGAATTGCATTTTCCAAATATACTAAATAAAATCAGAAACTTATTCCGTTACAGATGGTAAGTATCATTAAAAATGGACGACGCATTTAACGGGATAATTATCTGAAATAAAGATAAACATAATTGAAAGTTTGTAAAACAAAAAACGTAATTCAACCGAGTTAAAAAGTTTACATACACTATTAAAAACAGTATTATAATTTTATAACGTATTTTCAAATAAAATGTATAATATATATTATAAATTGAGTACATATGTGTAATACATTTACAATATATGTCATAAATTTGGGTTAATCGGTACTTGATATTAAACGTTTTTCTGCAAACAAATAAATTTGGCATATGTTCCGGGCACGTTCAAACAATACGTACCAAATGACTTTCGAATATGAAATGTATAATTTTTCTCCGCAATTTCACAAAATGACAACACGGTGTTATAAAATTGTAAATCTATTTAGAATTTCATAATAAGCGTATACTAATTCACTGTTAAGACATCAAATTTACAATATTACTGCAACCTTATGTACTAAAAGTGTATGAATTTTTTTAACGGTGTACCATCCGCCCTGCCGCTTAAGTGTTCACGTACCGTACAATAAACCGCGACATAAACGGAATTACAAATCACCAACGAAAGTAGACTGTTTGGGAAATAAAGTAAGCACTCTCGCGACAAGTTGCCAGTGACAAAAGATCCCGGAGTCGAAAACCTCGCACGTGTAACGAGTTCGTAGCCCGCGCTCGTCCGATCACCTGTCGGAGCGGGTAAGCCGGTCGGGCCTACGCAAAAGCGGGGAAAAATCGAGGGCATTGCGCGTTACGTGCGAAAGCACCGAATTCGAATCTATACTTATCCTTCCGTTGTCTACGTAAATGCGGATTCTCAGTAAATACAAAAATACTCGAACGTCCGTGAGACGTAGAAGTGAGGCGTACAAAGAGGCGGCGGGTCGGCACGCCGCTACAGACGCAGAAGCAATTTCGCGGGATTTTCGGCGTCGAACCGCGCCAAGGTTTCGGGATTTTCTCAAAACGTGCGCAGACCTCGGTGCGTTTCCCTCCCTCGTTCTCCGAGCACTCGGCGTAAAGTATCAGAGCCAATGTCGGCGTATATAGGAAGCACGGATGTCCGCACTTCGATATAGCGATAAGATGGTAAATTGCAAATGGCGGCGCTCGCGGGGGTGCGCATGCGCGGTTCTTCCCCGGAATGCGATTCCACGCTCGGCTTTCCTCGACCATCCGGTACCAAAGCCAAGACGAGAAGAACTCATGGGGGATTTTGGCCGCGTATCTATTTTCGCCGGCGAAATGCACGCGCAGTATCCTCTGGCCGCGGGCCAAGCATACCGGGACGTAAAAACATTTTAACCCTGTTGGGCCTTCGCGCGCTACAATGAATGGACGACGAACTCCCCGAGAAAGAAACGACCTCTTCGGCCGCCGACGCCATTAGAGGCGTCCAAATGCGAGCCGAAAAATCTCAGACGACCTTCGCGACGTGACGTTTCGACATCGATGAGAATCAGACGGCATTTTGCTTGAAGTCATTTTAATTATGAATTATAATTAATCAAGAGGGTAGACGCACGTTCCAGGAGGAATCGGTGGAACGACTTGGCATTCGTTCAAATCTCAGAATAACTTGCCATTCAGCGAAAGAAATTCGGAATTGATCCCAGATAACACTCCTGGAACCTATGGATGTTCTACGACTGTTCACGTCGAACATTTCGTAGTTCCCAGAATTTTATACAAATATTTAAGATATGCAGGGAATATTCATGGAATGCAGAATCTCCGCCCGGTGGATTGACAATCAAATAATATCCACAGGAATATTTCTTCAGATATTCCAAAAATATTGTCATACTATTAATACAAATATTCCATGTATATTACTGTAAAATTATCAGGTCGCAAATAATTTCTAGTCTAACTAATAAGCTTTTACATGGATTTATTGAAGTGAGGAAAATACATTGACAGCGTAATATGAAAAGTAAAAAAGAAAAAGCTCGGTAAATACTGAACGTTAATCGGAAATCTCACATTTTTCCGTAAAGACTCTTAAGTACGTTTTTTTTTTTTCATAGTGTACAGATGTACGGATATTTTATTTTTCTCCAATTGGCCCGGTCCTCGAACTCGCTTTTAAAGATGCCGCGTTTTCCAAAAAATATTCACCTGTCTCGTCGAGGGAATATTACTTCAGCGGAAATGAATGAGTCCGTGGAAAACTACGCTGCATTTTCCTAGCTCTTCGAGAAACAATCCCAGGAACCTGAGTGAGTTCACGAAATATTTCCGTGATATTTGTTGATATATCACGGGCGAAAATAGCAGGAGAATCAAAGGAAATTGCCAATGACAATGTGTTTGCTTCTCGAACGGTGGTGACCTTGATAATTTTCCACGATTCGATATATTATAAGCTGCGGATGGGTTTTCTAGATTTCAGAAGGTTTTAACTGACGTGTACAAATTCCAAGTTTTCTATGATTGCGTAGAATTAATTAGTTGGTTATTCAAGTAATTTGTTTTAGACTCAAAGCAATGTGGCTTCGAAAAATTATTAACCGGGGGTGTTCATTGTTAAAAGTGACTTTCTTCCCCACAGCATTTTGTTTCAAATTTATAATGTCCTCGGTTCAAAGACTACATTTAATATCGTATAAGCCAAAGCGATGAAAACTCGAGTTCCTTAAAAATATACCAGACACGTGTACCTCCTTGTCTTCAAACGAAACGGCTCTTTGTCCAAAGGCGAAGTACGTGTGCGCTTTTGGCACTTTTGCAAAACTCGTTAAAGACGTATTTTCCTCCTTATAACCTTAAGATAATACTGAATTTTTTAAGCGGTGGACGATATAATTATTCTTTTACTATTCCAATGATTTTTCACACGATTCATCGATTAATCAAATAAACAACGTTCTACGTATTTTCGTATCAAGAGTTTAAACGTGCAAATGCCTTGCATATTTTAAGATTAATAATTTCCTTTCCTCATGACTCGAGCCATGTTCAGAAATAATATGTGTATATAGTCTACAAATATATATGCAAGTCTATAATTTTCCGTGCTTTACTCAAAAGTTTCGACGAACTGGGTATACAGAGTATGTAAACGTTATTGAGATATTCGAGAATATATACATAGGAGTCAGATTATGTTATATTGCAGAACATGATTCAATCGTAACAGGTAATATTACTTTCCATGATCGCGAGTTAAATTGATTGCAAGTATTACAACATTTGAAATGATCGTCAATCCCCTGTGATTTCAAATACCGTCGACACTCGATGTATAATTTCAAAATAATAATTCGAATAATAAACTGATGATAAAAACGTATTAAATTTCTCTTGATAATTCTCTTAAAAATTGCAAAAGACAAGTAAACCATCGCTTTTACTTTTCCTTTTATCTTAACATGTATGCAGATTCTTAATTATCCAAACCAATCTTTATTTCTACTTTCAGTAAAAAAATTCAATTGAAAATGATTCTAAAATGAAGTACCACCTAACTTAATATCCGAACTTAAAATTAAATGTAACATTTAAGTAGGTTAAACAAATAAGCAGAAAAATAGTCGTTCGAAAATACATACATCAATCGAAAATATGTAAAAGCTGACCCTTGTGCATTTTTAACATAATAATAAGCTCTCTTCTTGAATAGCAAGAGAAAGAGGAGAGAGCACGTGTGTTCCAAGTCTCATAAGAAATGGAAAAATGGTCTTTCGACAGGTTGCAGCGCTGACCACGTGGCTTTCATTGTATACGGTCTACAGTTGTTTTCAAACAAAGGCAGAGACCGGCCAGTCAGCTGATCCGGGATGCAACTTTGGTGGGAGACGGCTCGAGGGCTTAAATAGTCCCGACAGCTTAGAAACACATCAGTGTACCGAGCAGCAACTCCGGCAGCCTTCGTTGCGATCGAAGGATCTCGGATCTACCGTGGCGGGCTAGCCGAGGATCCTTTCTCTCGATCTTCAGTTCCGATCCCGAGGAAAGCGATCTCTCAGGAGCCCATCGGTCACGTTGGATTTCGCGGGGCCTCCGGAGCTCGTTCCAACCGATAGAAAGAGTCCTTTCCCCAGAATTACAGGTGGAGGCTCTTGACTCGAGCTCGCCGCGCATTTACGTAGACCGCCGTGGTAAATGCAATCGTTCTTACACCTGAGTTAATTGCGGTGTGATCAAGTACTGTGATTTATCCCGAAAGCTGCCTCGGCGGGCTTGAATCGAATATCGAAGAAGACCTCTCGACGTTCCGTGACACTTTACACCGTAAAACATGAAGCCGCCTTCGTATAATTCCGAAGAGGTTCAACAAATCTCCCAGGAGCAGGGGGAGAGGAACGTTGCAATGGCGGTTTGCGTCCAACTGGCTGGCAGAGCGATTATCAGAGTGGTTTCCCGCTGCGAGGAAGCCCAGGACAACTGTAATCTGGGTGAGAACTCGATTAATCGATAAGCAAGTACCCTGATTAAATATTTTTATCCTAAGCACGTGTACCTGAATTTATGAATTGGGTGCAGAGCATTTCAATTGCAATCATAGTATAGATGTAGGTGGACCTTCGAAGATTTGTTTTCGTGCGGTTTATAACCCGACAATGACCACTGAGACATTATTAGTCACGTAGGTCACGGTAAAGGACCAGGCCTTGCATTGTTAAAATTATTTATATCGAATTTAACTACCTGTATATCAAAGTACTTTCGTTGTACATCCTGTAAAGCATTATATGGGGATTGAGATGGTGAACCGTTTCTTCCTTATCGAGCTGACTCCCAAATTCTGATAACATGCCCGACACTTTGGCTTTCATTTGTACAGGGCATTTAAGAAAATTCATGGAACACTTCTGGAAGAGTATGGGCGATAAATTATTGTCAAAGTACCGGATGTCCGGGGTGACTGTTGAGCATTGACTTTCTTCTGAGAGTCTATCGGAGGATCTTCTCGTGCAGCGAAGTCACTCGCCTGTGTCGAAAGCCCTGGTTTCACATTGTCAAGGCAAAGGAACAATTTCCTCCGTCCCCTTGATTTTCGTTCTTTACGTTAAACCCCTTTTCTTTGTCGTGTGGCCTTCTAGTCTGTCCCAACCGTAAGCGTGCGTCGATTCATCGATAAAGAGCCAGATAAGATATCGAATGTGTTTTACTTCAAGCACGACATGCTCGAGTAAATAAGACGTACATAGAACTCCGTTTGCGAACAATGAAACGGCGAGGTGGACGGACTTTGTTGTGCATTCGAGCTGCACCTACCTCGCCAAAGATTGTCACATAAAGTAGTGATGGGAGTGATACGATACTCATTGATAATATTGCAATAATTAAATTCTCTGATATTGATTCCGAGGTGTCGAAAATATATCAAAAATGAGATACTTGGCATCAGTATTCGACATTGATACCTCGTAGAGTGATACATAACAATACAGTTATAACTGATTTCAAGTACTTTATAATACAATACATGAATAATAGTTTTCATCTTTTATTGCTTATAACTCATTTCTAATGAATAACAAAGGTAATAATTACCCCAAATTTTTAATCCAAGAACATTTTTCTCTACATGTATTGCCCTCAGTAACTCCATTTGCATTGTTCCCGTAATATTGCCACCCCACGATCTTTTCGACATTTTTGAACATTTATCACATTCTCTCCCAGGACGCTCGGCGACTGACAGTCGACAATAACAATTGACCGTTGGCAGTAAATTTTCTAATTTGTACGTACATATCGACACAACTAGACTACTTGTTTGTGTTTGGACGGTTCACGAAAAGTATTGTGATAGTATCGATAATATTTATAGAGGACGAGTAGTTACTCAGGTTCGATACCTACGTGTAGGTATCATTTGGGTATTGATACCTTTTCATAATTTTGTCTTTATGTACGCTTTTAAGATATTGATATTTCGCTGTTAGGAACGATACCTATCACGACGTATTATTTCCATCGCTAACAGAAAGCCACTTCCGTTCCTATACAGGACATCGTTTGTGCCTGATCTTTTGGCAATCTTCCGCGATCAGGGCCTGACCCAACAGCGACATAGTCCACTTACGGCTTCTCACTTACGCAATCGTAACAATTTTATATCTTAATGGCATTTCGCAATGACGGTTCTGCATTTGAGAGTGCAGATGCGGCACACGAGTTGAATTCCTCAGATTGGATGATCAAATGGCAGAAGGATGTTCTGGATCTCGGGTCTTCATGACTTCTAGTAGAAGGCACATCGTGTAATCTCTCGACATCTACCACGGGAAATATTTCAGTTAATGGTTTTCATATTTAATTATTGATCTATCATGTATGGGTATTTTTACTACCTAAATCGGTGTCAGGAGAACTCTGGTAATCTTTTCAATTGACGTAAGCAATATGTTGTCTAGATCACTAGAGATCTTCGTGCAAAAAATAAGAATAAAAAGTGCATTAGATTAAAGTTGTATCATTCTAAATGGGGAGGATTAATCACGGGACATGTTTGGCCGATAAAATGCCGCTTAAGGAATATCCTGACCCTCTGGCGATTCCGTGGATTTCCTGATTCAAATCAAAGAGGTCCTTGCCTGAACCTTACATGGCAAGACCTTGCCCAAAGACATTTCCACCGTACTTTATCATCCTTTGTGTCCGCACGAGCACGGATATGCACCTAGGTGCGATCTCGAGTACTGCTGTGCAGTTCGGTAAAAATAATGACCGTGGAAATTACGGCTGTACCGATCTTCCTGTTATTAGAAATGAAAACGAAGTTTCTACTCGGCCGGTCGGCGAAAGTCCCTAGCGAGTGAGAGAGAAAGAGGTGTTCTCAGAGCGAGAGGGTGGTGGAGGAAAAGCGAGCGAAGTAAAAAGAGAGAAAGAGAGAGAGAACAGGTTCCTTGGATTTTACTTTGTGGACCCTGTCATACGAGGTACTACACGGATAAACAGTTGTGAGCATGTTCATACATGGCTGCACGTATGCACTTGCGGAACAATAACTCAACGGAGTGCACCTTCGCACACTGTCGTGTGTCTCTATGTTGGGAAATAGGCGAGAGGTGAGCTAATGGATTAAAAGAAAAACCCGAGGAGAAAAGAAAATGTGAAAACGTTATTGGAACTCGGTCTTGCATCTCACTGGGACGAACTTTCGAGCTAGAACTCGCGCTTGAGTGGGCAATATCTCCAATCTCTATCTCTGGAAAGAGAGTACCTAGCAATTTGTTTATGTCAAGTCGTAAGTAGAATATGTCGGATGGATTTTGTCATCCTGCTACATCATGTACATTCGCGTCGATTTCGCCCCTGACGTTGGATTTCGTATCTATTACATGCATTAATGCACGTATCAATATTTTAACCGTCCTCGTATAACGTCACTTAAATTAGCACATCGAGTACCTTATCACACCTACACCGCATTTTGAACAATAGTCATTTATACATAACGATTAATCCTACATAAATTATTTAACCTTCTTAAAAATACCATATGCACCGTGCGGCACTAACTACCGATCTCGAGGAACAGGTGTACGGAAGAAGCGTTAATACTTATACGAACACTTATAATTAATTGCCCTCGCAAATTAAGCGCATTATTTTTTTTTTTTAGCTATCTGGTAGATCGCTCGCTTATATGCGGAATTGCGCAATGAACGAAAGGAAAACGCAAACCGCACTCGTTTTGCGCCAACCAACGTTCACGCCGCGATTGCTGAATGAAAAATGATAACACGGACGGTTTCAAGAGTTCTTAAACTATTCTGGACTATTTATCGGTATTTCTTTTTTTTATTTCGCCAGTTTGTTTAAACTCTAAGCTCTCATTAGAACCCAGCACCGTGTGCCAGGAAACCACTGGTAGTTATCCGCCCACGCGGAGCTCCTCACGAGATCGTATCTGCGTGGTACTTTCCATCCCGGGTTTTTATCACTATCTCAATTGAAGTCGTCAGCAAAATCCGATCTAAATCCAAAAAGGTGGAAATTAGAATCGTACAGCGATGCGTAATACCTCTATTGTCTATTGTCACGTGTCCGAACACTGTATGAAATTCCCGAGTTCTCTGCAGTAACAAATGGAACTGCCTTCCATTGAATGGGTAGTTGCACTTATGAGATGACTGATATTATTCAAAAAAAAAAAAAAGAACTCCCATAAATGTAACTTAGGTAATTTCTCCACCCTAGCCTTCCTAAAAAAATAATCCGTGTTATCAAACGGCGAGGTTCTCGATACGGACCTCAAGAGGTCCCTCTGTGCTTCTTGATTCTTCCTAGCAGGTGATTAAGTGATAAACTCCATACTTCGAATTAATAATCTGGTCTGAAGAACGGAAATGCATGACTCCGAAACGCTCGAGGGGTGGCGAACGCACACATTGTGCGAGAGGCGGAAGAGCGTCGACTCTGAAAAGAAAGGCGCTTTATATAACAGAGTTTCGATTAATTTCTTCGGAAAAGATCCTCCTTACACCATTTCCACTTCTTTCCGCGAGTACTAATAGGTGGCTCGTGCATTTTCTATTTTAATTCGGTTATTTTCATTACATTGAATGTTATCAGATGGAGAGTACATAACGAGTGATAGTACCTCGTAATTATGAAAGCGAGGTATAAAAGATAACAGTGCGAGCATTGAAACGGAATATACATACTCTCGTTACATTTGACCGCACGTCCCGTAATGCGCCGGGAATAAAAGTGAAAAGTCCGTGGTCGGCACAGATTATTACAGGAATAAATAATTAATTGCGCAATACGTCCGGTCTTTGTCTCCACGCTCGCCGGATGCAATACATGGTCCTTAAAGATGTCGACCGTAAATATATACGTATACGTACATGGTCTTGGTTATATCCAGACGAGGACGATTTCATCGACCGGGAGTCTTCCGAAATTGAGTACGTTATTTCGGTAACGATGATGTCGGGACCTTGGCAATTGGGAAGTGCGTTTCGCTTCACATTTTACGTAATTAGGAAAGCGCGATATTTAATCTGCCTGATATCTAAATTATGGAAATCTCTACCGTTGGCCTTGANAAAATTAATATAAGGAATAACGCAATTTAACGTTAACATCGTACTGTTCTTAGCGTTAACGGAAATTATTAAATGAAATCCACTCTGACGCGGTTGGTCTCCACGATATCCGATATCTCGGAAGGTCTCGGGGCTCCTCCGAGAACGAGACTCTCCTTCGGTAACCAGAATCCGGAGGCCTTGGCAATGTCGGCACACGCATTCTGCATTCCGCCTTAAAACCCGGTCCCGGTTTCCTTCTTCACGGATTTTTACTCCGGAAGAGAAGACCGTCTCATTGTATTCCCCGAGCGGTCAGCGTCGCGCAGATCGGATTCGCAATAACCCTCCCGAGCATACACCGACCGGTACGTAAATTCAATACAAGGGAATGTACGGTCGTTGGATGTATAAAACCCGCAATGCCGTATACGGTAAGGCATCCTTAAATGGTAACTTGCAGGTAAGGCCTGTGGGTCTGTACTTGCGTTGCCTCCGGACTCCCGGGAGTTCCGTGCTCGCACGCGGAAAACGCAATCTCGGCAAAAACTCTGCCCCAGGTACGCACATTTCCAGCTTCGATTCGTGTCTGCCCTGCCGATCGAGTTGATACGAGAAGTCGTTGCCTTCCTTGCAAATAAAGAGGAATAATTGCCCAGCACCGTGGGTAATTACAACCCTACAGGTGCAGAATCATTAAGGTGGCATGAAAGTAGGGACCCTCACCTGCGGAGTCTACTTATGAAACTTTTATCCGAACTGGGACGAAAATCTGAGATTCTGCCCATTTATTACGTATTTTTGAAGAGAGCGCTCATTTCTCGCACTTTCATCTCACGTGGGTTTATTCGCCGAATTACGTGTTCGCTATAAGAAAGAACGAGATCACTAGCACTTTCGGTCACAATCCGTGGAAGATGGCGTTCACGGTGCTTATTTTTCTATCTTTTCTTGTATGCTTCACCATTTCGCTTAGAAATTTGTGTCGAGCCAGTTTACGCGAATGGTCTCGCATTTTCACCACCAAAAACGTTCCGTAATACCTTAAGCTACTCATTTTTCACATTTTCGCTCAATGTGCTTTACGTAATAGACCCTCTGGGGTGTCTCCTTACCTTACTTCATGGTCAACCTCCCCACAAACCTACGCAGAAAATCAAATATAAAACAAGAGACGAAAACTGCGCGATGTTCACGCACTGGCTCGTGCCTCGGGTCCCTCAAAATTGGAAGTTCCTGCAACCGGTGCAGAGTCGCGTCGACGCGCGATTATTCAAATCGGTTTCGAAAATTGTAATCGGCCATGGAGTAAATTCCCGGACGGGAAGTAAGTCAGGCCCCGCGGCCTGCATCTCCGCGTTCCTCGGAGGAGTCGGCTCTCTTCCGGCAACCCCGAAGAATGTCAAGGCTGGCCAGGGTGGGCGTTATTTTTAAAATTCGAGGATAAGAGCGGCCGGCGCGCGCGGAAAGTGGCGGCGAGGAAACCCGGGCCGCGCGCGGCTCCGCTCTAGTCCTGCATCAGTCGGTGCCGGTCAAGATGGCGAACGCTGTGACCAGAGTGGTACTGCGCTGCGAGGAAGCCCAGGAGAACTATAGCCTAGGTAGTAAATACGTAACCCGTCGCGACGTGTTTTCGCGAGATCGGCCGCCTCCCCGGGTCAAGTTCGACTCGGATTTCCGGTACTTCGGGGACGTGAGAGGAAATTTCTCGTTGAATTCTAACCTCTGCCAACTTCGTGACCTACTTTGCGCGCTCTACAGGTGCACGCAACCGAGCCGACGGAGGCGCGATCGTTCTCTCGAAATCCCTAGATCTTCCAGTGACTTTCTGTTAAACGTTCGCGCGTTAATATGGCTTATATATATATATAATACCAAGCTCTTCGTATTACTCGAGGATATATTTTTTGTTCACTTCGAAGGAGCGCCCGTTACGCAAGGCTCGATTAGCTGAAAGGAAATAAAAAGGATGTAATCGATATAGTTTGAAGTATGCGGATTAGATCACTCGAACGTATTGGTAACGACGTTAAGTACGAATTGTCTGCCCTAGTTATTCGAGATGGGGTTTTAAGAATTGAAGGGGTGCGCCGATTTGTTGGGGAACTTACCGTGACCTTGGATATGGTTATGATGTTACTAAATGAAATGTCGGTAAAGTAGTTTCCTGAATACATGTAAATATTGTAAGATTTTAGCGTCGGATGAAACGTTTTAATTGTCTTTTAGGTAATGGATGCTGTAAATTCCCAAATTGATGGACTTCCCGGTACAGCAAGTCGCGTGACAAGAGTCGAAATGGAAAAACCCGACTTTTCTCATTGTATTTTAACTTTCGCAAACTTTTGGCCGTCTAATGTTAGGAAATTTATTTAACGTGCCGCGAGTATTTAGGAAAATCCTTTTGGACACATCGGCCCTTATCAGAATTTCTTCTGAACAGTTTTAAATACTTTCAAGGTCACCTCGTGTTTTTTTTTTAATATCTATGATTTCCTAAGAAAATCATATAACGATACGTGCTACTAAGGAAAAGAAATGTTCCCTTGAGTGTCTCTTTCGCGGCGGAAATCTTAAAATGTAAACGTTGAATTGACTTTGAAAAAAATAGCCGGCTACGGAACTTCGAATGACGGTGTTGTACAATTTTCGGAATAGGAGTTCTTACCTGGAAACATTTTGTCGTGTTTCAGATCTATCGGAATGTCAGCTGATGCAAGTACCGGACGCGGTGTACCATTTAATGAGACACACGGAGTTGAAAAGGTGCGACCTCTCTGGCAACGTGATCACGAAAATCCCCCCAAAATTCGCCGTCAAGTTCTCACTCATAACGGGTAAGTAAACTGATAAATCTTACCTTATTTTACCAAGTATATACAAGAAGGATTAATTGAAAGACTTTCGATGATTTATTCCAGAACTGAACCTCAGTCATAATCAGATGAGTAAGCTTCCAGAGGAGCTGGCCGAGCTGCAGGCTTTGGAAAGGCTGGATATCTCGCACAATACATTCATTGCCCTGCCTCAAGTCGCGTGTCGGATACCTCGACTTAAGCAACTCCTAGCTAACAATAATTCAATTATTGGTAATTATCACGATGCTATGCAGGACTGCTGGAAATGCCAAACCAGCTGAGCTAGTGTTTACGGGTACCTCACGATAAAAGGAAAAGTAACAATGGATAACATTAACGAGCAAACCAGTATAAAGATTAATGCTTGCGTTTCCTTTGCCTCACATTCGTACATAACGTCTTCTTACTAATCAGAACAGGAGCCTAGATGAATGTTTTTTACACTTGTCCAAGGTATCTAAGGAACTTGTCGCAACGCTGCTTCTACTTTTATTCTCGTAATAGGCCTCACAGTGACTTCTTGTGCATAAATTCTAGAGGACACAAGATGTGGTAAAGATGCTTATGATCTCGACGAAGCTAAGAAAGATTTGTCTGTTTATGAGATAATAAGACACACCGTGAGGTCTATACTTATTGTTAGTGAAACACGACATTCATAAGTATTGCTTTGACTTTGCAGATGTTGACGTAGAGAGGCTCAGGCATGCTCCCGCGTTGGAATTCATCGATTTGCAACACAATCCTTTAACACCTCGGGTCCATGACAACCTCAAGACGTTAACGAGCATCAGGGTCGAGCTTACTCCGCGGCAAGTGGAGGATTGGGAAGACCTGACCATATGAACCTGAGTTTGCTTCTCACGATGGATATTATCTCGTTGAAGCAAGAAGTCAAGACGTCTCGTGTCCGCTAACTTCACTTTGTCTATTAGAGTGAGGCGCCTCGAGATTAATAAGCGAGTCTCAGCTCGACTAGAAATGAATTTTGTACAGGGAGCATAGACTGACTCGTTACGTGGCACGAAATGGTGCGGTGATTACGCCAAAGTGATTCTCATTACTCCTTATTCTCTAATCAAACCACTAAATCTTCGATTACCCTTTGAGAGAATTCTGCTACCATTTACACAATAGTTGGGTGGACTGATTAAAACTTAATGTAAGGAAAGAGGACGTAAGAATTCACGGAGTCTGTATAAAGTATAGAAGGAAACACGAAACCTTAAAGTTTTCACAACATCGATCTACGAGAGTACGGAGACCAAATGACATCGAAATATAGGACTTTTTGTATTTTAATCTGGTGATCTTTAAAGTTCCTCGTAATACTCCGGGTCTCTGTGAGAAATATATTCAAGATCTAACGCTCTGGGTGTAATACTTTCGTAGCAGTATTCTCGCAACGGGTGAGATTTATTGTATTATATGAATAGTGAATACTTATTTCTAACAACAATTGCTAACTTGCTGATCTTGGGAGGAAACTCGAGCGTCAACAAATTGCAATGCATAATCTTGAAGCTGCCGTTAAACTGTTCGCGCGCTATGGACGTAAGGGAGAGCAGAAAGTGCTCTTACAGCACTTTTAAGGGTCAAATGACGCTAAAATGTATTTAAACGTGTTTTAAAAAAAGAACTCTGCTATTAATTTATTAACATATCCAAACTGGAATTGCGGTTGGAAATAATCAGGTCCCTAGTATGGATATATTATAGAGGCCACTTGCATTTGAGTGTTGATGCTTGATTACCCTTCACCTGTAATTGTTTTCTTTTTTCTATATTATATTTGATACGTCACCGTTATTCATCAAACTGTACAACTGCCAGTGTTCAAAAATCGGTTTCGCCCCGGTACCGCAATCGTCGTAAACAAACATTGTTTTAACTCTTAACCTTGGCAGGGTATTCTCACGGGTATATATTTTTTTTACCTACTTTTCAATGTGTTACGTATGCGAGGCTTTTCCAATAGTACTCACATGATATTAAAAAGAGCGACATAACATTATTTTGTATCATGCTATCTGAATAAGTACCACAGCCAGCAATACATTAAAAAAGAACAAACGCTAAGAGGTATGCTGCCGAGTTAACACTAGAACTACCAAGATGGATCGAAATAACTTGTTTCAAATGGCTCATCCTATACAAAAAAAAAAAAGAAAAAAAATCTGCCGGTCGTTCTAGTGTTAAGGATTAGATTAATTAGCTGTGAAACATCTAAGGTGCATAATTCGCGGTACGTGGTAAGCATTTTTGTGATTTTTCAAGTGAACTCTACGAGGAGTACGCGATAAGTGTACGCAAGGAGCTTAAACACCTTCCGATAAAACACCATACGCTTTGATGCGCACCCACGCATCCAAAACAACGTACTTTACCCTCAAGAAGTCTTGTATACATACTTCTGTATTTCGATCTAGTCAATTGTCCATGGGACGTTGCAATACACTTTGCGAAGAAAAGAAAAAAAAAAAGAAAACAGAGGAATCATTATATGCACTGCCTTTCATCGTGTCCCATATACTGTCCTACCCCTTTAATCGAGCTGGTCGCTCGACTACAATGAGTAAATGAGTAATGAGAAAATACTCTGTTAGCATAAGAATACTATAAAGCGTCGGAAGTACTTATACGAGTGGAACGTCGGCACAGACCTACAATAGGCGCTTTCTTATTACATAACATAGATTTCCACGATCCGACACACGGAGTCATGTCAACCGGCACTAATATTACAGCTCTACATTTCGCCGAGTAGAGGGAAAACTCTGAAGCAATAACGCATCCGTAATGTTAACAGATAACGAAAAGAAACGAAAAACATAACACTCGGCCGAATGTCACTGAGGAAAAGTGGGATATCAAAAATGACTCGCCCCTACTCTAAATAAGTGACAGTTAGTATACCTATATTTTCTCAGTATCAATTGATAATATTTAATAGTAATAATTTTTAATAATATGTATAATGAGTCGCTGAGTTAATTATCTACAATACTTGTCGATGAATATAAAATCACAAAATATACATAGAATGGACACCGTTCGGTGTTCTTAAATGTTAGGTGTACAGGCTTCCGCGTTCCGGCTAACCATTAAATTCTCTTTCTTTCTCGTAATACAGCTTAAATAGTATTTGATCGTAGACGAAAATACTAGGGGACCCTACGCGTAGGAGCCCTGCTCGACGTATTACGACCAACAACAAACGTAATTCCAACGACCTGAGCCTCGAGAGACATGTAAGCGGCGTTTTAACGAGTCGCGCTACATTCTCGGAGAAACGCAGTTAATCGAAATAGGAAGTATATGTAACGAGAACCGAGTCGGGTCGTGCGGACGGGCGAGGATCTCGGGGTAATCATTAATAATAATGTCACATATACCGAAAGCTACGCTGAGTATATATATATACATGTACAATTACGTACGCGAAAGATACACAACAATGCGACTTCACGGTTATCTTTAGAGGTTGATTCGTCCCTTCGGAGTATGAAATTCCTCGGGCAGAAGCAATTCATATATTGACGTCGATTCGATTCCGCGATCGTTCAGGGCCGAGACCAAACGTCGCTTGTACACTGGGAGACATCAATGCCCTCCCATCCTGCACAGGCGATGTCGTATCTGCAAGGGAGGCATTCATGTCCGCCATTGTACACTAGGAGACATCAATGCCCTCCCATCCTGCACAGGCGATGTCGTATCTGCAAGGGGAGGCATTCATGTCCGCCATTGTACATTACATCACGTACCGCTTAAAACGTAACACCCGCTTGCGTATCTCTCTTCTAGTTTTCCCTGTTTCCTAATAGTATATACACAATTCTATCCTAGCTAACTCGGCATTCGGACACGCGTTCGGACAAGAGGAAGTTCACCGGCGGAACGGCCTTCGATGGAACGGCTACTCGTATAGAAAGTTCACGGTATCGAGACGAATAGTTCCCTTTATCATTCTCTTTTTTTTTTTTTCTTTTTCTAGTAACGCAATTTGACGTTCGTTAACCGTGGACGAAGGAAAATACGTAGGTTTAACTATCTTAAGATTAAGCAAGAGTTGAGCAAGCGCGTAAGTAGTCTTACGCGCGCATCTCCGACGATTCGAGCGCACATCTCAAGACAGTTACGACCCTTTCCACGGTTCTGCTTGCGCGCCTACTTCGACGGAACACGAGTAATGCGATCGTATGGTACTCTAGAGAAAAATCAGTCTCTCGTTCTCGTATCAGCGATTTACGGGCCGTCCGCTAATAAAATCCTGCTTTGGCGCCCCCCCTCGGCACGACGTAGAACGAAGTGGCATATTCCGACACACTCGCGATGGCCGCGCGATACTCGGGCAGGATGTGTATTCGTAAGTGTACCTTCCGATTGCAGGCAGCAACCGCGAATCGTTTACTCATACGAGAGACCAAGTCGAGCCGTCGTTTCGCGAAGCAGTGCGGGCACGCTGCGGACGAGTTCTACGGTTGTACATCGCACCGAGACAACGTTACATTTAGCGAGTGCATCCACATGCAATGTAGAACGAAGCAATACGTAGCTCCAGCGTGCTCAGTTGTACATATGTACGTACAATCGCATCGAGTTCCACCACCATTGAGGAAGACTGAATTCGTCTATTCGCACGTCCTTCTTCAACGTGGCTGCAACGAGTTCAACCTCGCCTCGGCATTCCCTTCCGATCGAGGAACGGAATGAACAGAAGAGGACCCCCGTGGTACCGAAAGGATATAATTAACGGTGTACCACTACGGTCCGACAACGCTTTCTTGGCACAAAGTAGATCCGATGACATTGTCCGTAAATGCTATATAAGATAGACAGACTAGTGATAATTTTGTAATTTTGCCTTTTCCCCTTTACCTTGCAGGGCTCGTTAATCTTGCGACCCCCTCTTCCTTCCGTGGATCGAGGTTCCCGAGCACTTGGATCCACATTTTCATCACGAAGGAAGGCAATTCGTAATGCTGATTGCAGCCCGAGGCTCGCTATTGCGTATGTACTCGTCTCAACGACCAGGGAGAAGTAGCTATGTTTTGTAGAGATGGTACTCTATGTACGACGTCGGTACGAATCCCTCGATCGGCTGGGAGATACGACGAACTCTCGTCCATCCGTCGCCCTGGTCGAGCTCGATCATGTAAAGTTCCTCACCGTCGTACATCGGAATAGATCCTTCGCTGGTAGCTAAAACGGTGATTACTCGGTAAGCATCATTGGGACCAAGATAAAGACAAACTATCCTACTCGAGGGAACGGAAAAACTGCAAAGTGCACCAGTAAACTCACCGTCGAAAGGGTACAGCGCCCGACACGTGCCAAGTGGTGGCTGAGCGTCGACTTCGTCAACGTAATACTCTTCGCTGCCACTCCCAGGAAGTGATGTCCTCGACGCTCCCAGACCAGACTCCGGGCTATTCGTGGAACTGTGCATCAGTATTGTAAAGCGGAAACCATTTCTATTTATCTATCAGAAATTTCAGCTTTACCGTAACGCGACACCAGGCAAAGGACCTTCTCTCTGAGCTTTACGGCAAAGCCGATACTCGATTTGTTAATCCGGGACGAGGAAGTAACGTAAATCGTACATTGATATTCGTTGTTCAAACTTACGCGTGCGACGGCTGAGGAGTACCAGGAGCACTTTTCTTCTGAGTCGACTGATTCGCATTCGCATTGCATACACTGGAATCTGAAGCAGACCTTGAAAGGCTTTCTTCTCCACCCGAATGACTCGATCTTCTCGAACTTAACGGCCTCGTGGCTGAACCGTTGCTAGTTGGTTTTCGAGGCGCCTGGCTGGGGCTGGGAAATTATTAAAATTTAAATAACAATCGTCCTGATACTTAGAAGATATCGATTCGAGATACACTAATTTAATACTAGGTTTACGGGACCCGTCAATTTGACGGAATTCAAACTTCGAAAAATACCGAAAAAATCATACCATTAATTTTAACCATTTTTGTATCGTAAATTAATCATTTCATCCAAAGAATTTGTACACACAATTATTTTTTCCTAAGCCTTCTAATTATTAAAATCTGTATGTAATGTACCTATCTATACGAAACCCGTCAAATTGACGGACTAGCTAATTTCATAAATAATCCATATATATTTGCTTCGTTGCAGAGAGTGTAAGGCGAAGGTGAGAGTGAAAGTTTGCATTGAAAGTGGAAAGATAGAAGGATCTTCGGATAGTGAAGAGGAAAACTTCTTGAAAGGGTGTCGTAGCAAGAAAAGGATGCGCATTCTTTCTAGTTCTGACTCCGAGGATGAGAGGACGAGCATTCCAATCATTTCCGTGATCATTTTTAAAAAAGGACTTTTTACTTATTAATAATTCATTTAAACGTAAAGCCTAGTGTTGTTTAATTCAGACTTAATTTGAATGAATCGATTTTTTAAAGAAAATGCGTGTTTTCGTTTACCCGTCAATTTGACGGATGCTCGTAGAAACAGGTATATTTAAAACGCCCGTAAACCTAGTGTTAAGATATCAGAGAATAGACGGTGCAATTTGGCGACCTCGTGGTAAATCTGTCTATCCAGAAGAAAGCTAAGTACCTAGATAAGCTAGCATCTGCACGCATTGCCTCTTCAAGGTATCCTTGAAACTTGATTAATTCAGCGCCAAGTTTGTCTAGTTTATGACTGGATTGATTCAACTGTCCTTCTATACTCATAGGATCCCCTAGAGCAGGATTCTGTTCATAGACACCCTTCATCTTCATGAGGCCGTCTCTTGCTGCGGTCTCTTGCTGAATTTTCGTCTGAATTTCATCGAGCCTCTGCTGCAATCGCTTTTTTCGCTGATTTGGCGGCAAATCACTGCAGTCCTCCTTTGCGCCATCGCCATATCCCGGGATATTGTTCTACAAGATCAAAGGAATAATAAGACAATTTTGTGGGACACTTCTCGTCATTAACGTTCGATCGGAGGAAGCTTTATAAAGACAGGAAGCCTGATAAAAATGAGTTACGGAGACTCGAATACTTATTTCGACATACTTATAGCTTAGATACGTATTATCTTGCAGTAAATGTAAATGACGGGAGCAAACTCGCATATATGAGCTTATAATGGAGGATCAAACCAAAGAATGAACATGTGCGCACGATTTACTAAATGAATACGATAAATGAGTTAATGCATATTATGAAAAGAAAGACAGACCTTCAAAGCAATGCACATCTCGATCACCTTCTGTTCGTTCGCATGGAACAAATTACAAAAGCTTATCATTCGAAGGGCAATGACAGAGAACAGCGAGCGATTCGAGGAGTAAAGGCTTAGCGTAAAATCACGGCTGCAAAACCGGGAACTACTAATCGAAAAGTAAAATCGAGGTAAAAAATAAAATATGTTAATGGCCGAGTTTATACTCATCTGATCTGACTTCATTAAACGTAAGTATAATTAGTGGTATTCATGTAGAACGAAACCGTTTAAAACGTATGTCAGTAGGTCATTATGCAGCATGCAAAATGAATAGCGTTAAATACGCAAGCAAGTGTCTAAGTACTTACTAAATAGATTATTATCCAAATTCACAGGTCATGGTTGATTGGAAACAAGAGACCGCAGATGGATCGAACCATTCACCAAATTAAGGAAAAGTACAAAAAAAATACAATAAGTTAGCACCTCCCAACAAGGATCGAAGCATAGTAATGGCCAAGTAGATAAAGTATGTACGATACTTCGCGCGGCATAAAAAAAAAATCACTTTTCAACACCGATACCATACTCCGGAGGAAAACCACGGAAATGATTTTATAGCACGTGTGTTAAAAAAATTGGGGGGAAAAAAAACGAAACATGCTTATGTAATTTGTACTAAATATATGGCTCAATCTACTTAACTAGCATGTACCATTGTCGTACTCGATGCAAAAAGTGGGGTCAATCGAATAAATAAGATGCAAAGATCTAAAACTTTGTAAATCTAAGATTTACAAAATGGATGCTAAAATTGAATCGAACTCTTATGTACATGCTGGAGATTTTCGCGGATCTTCGATGTCTGAGAAATGTCGACGATCAAAACGCATGGCACTGTGCACACTCTGTATTTCCTTATCAAGGAAACAATGAAAATCTACTGATATGCTTAGCACTATGCTCTGTCAAAGGCGCAACTTAAGGTAGATATTTTACCTTATTGCTGCTGAATATGCCGAAAATTCCGACTCTCTTTTTGATCTTGCCTCCAGACACCGTTCCTTTAACCGTGAGATGATTGTGCAAAGGCTGCATTATTGGCTGAGACAGCTGACTATTACTATCATAAGTCTTCGCGGCTGAGAGATCCTCGAAAGGAAAATCACCCGGAGGTTGAAAGCCGCTCTTGTATCGTTCTATCACTAAAAGCGTGTCTTCCTTCTCGTTAATTTCATTAGCCGCCTTTTCGATGCCGTCCAAACACTGCGCAATTATCGGGGCGACAGCACGTTCAATCTCGACCGACTTCAGCATGTAATTCCGCATGTTCTTTATTCTCTTTTCATCCAGCTCCTGGAAAAGAACGGCTAAGTGAGCGTCAGAACATTCAGCATAGTTATCTCGATTGGTGGGAGCCTGGTCTACGTTTTACATATAGAATACCTGCAAATGTTGGAAGACTTCCGGCATACACGTGTGGTAATGTAGGGTCTGCATCTCGTTTGTTTTCTGCAACTGGTTCGCATATTCCGTCTTGGCCTCCTCGCTCTGTTGGGTCTTCATAGTCATGTTCATCCTCTGCTTTTCCACCTGGGGAGGAAAATCACGAGACATTAAAATCACGAGGTCTTCACAGTCGCGCTCATCCTCTGCTCTTCCACCTGGGGAGGAAAATCGCGAAAATCAAGAGACTCGCAGTGCCTCGGGTAACCGGGAATAGAGATGGAAAATCCGAACCTCTGCTCTCGAAAGTTTAAAGTCAGCATCTGCCCTGTGGTAGTTCTCGAGGGCTCTCTCTGCCTCTCGGAAGGCCTTCTCGTAGGCTTTCCTAGCGCGCTCAAGATTTCCGATTTGTCCAGCCAGGGTGGCCATCAGTCTGGCCCCTTCCTGGAGATGCTTCTTCCGATCCTCCTTAAAGTCCTTAACCAGGATGTTCAGCTCTCGCAGAACGTTAGCCTGGAGATTTTCAGCGATCACCTCTCTCTGGCCAGCCTGATCGTTGACCTCGTTCAGTTCCATCTTGAAAGCGCGGCATGGGCTGTACCTTCGAACAAGTACACTGGGTAAGTCTAAGAGACACCGTCTCCAAGGAGTTGATTTTCAGTCAGAAGTGCAAGACGAATAACGAGGGGCACGAGAGATCGAAAACGCAGCTTCGTGGCCGCAAAGTGCAAGGTACTATTAAAGAGCGCCATTGAACGCATGTAAACATAGACTGGATCCGATAACGACAAGAGAGCAGCTCCTGCTTTCCGTCAGTGAAAGGGCAATTAAGCAGCCAGTTACGCAAATAAACGAGGCCGACAAGATACCGGAAGGGCATTCTATTTTCCATTGAAATTCACGCCGAAGGTTAGAGTGGATCTCACGGCCTTACGAAATCCCTTCACTTACTGATAATCTTCTTCCTCTTTCTTCTTGGGTTGATAACTCTTGACAAGCCGTCTGCAATAAGACACAAGATCATTAGCTGTTGACCGCACGAAGAAACTCCTCGAAGCAAAATACGGCCAATTGTATTCCTACCGAGAGGTTAAAAAGTTTCTACCCATTGTAAGAAATTTCCCACACTGCGGAGGAACGGACAAAATTGCCGCAAGTATACGCATGAATTTCTTCTGGAACGTCATCGAGAAATCGCGGACATTAATTACCGAGTACCTATATTTAAAATTATACTTTTCAATTCTACAGGACAGGTTCCGTCCAGAATTCCGAATTTCTAAAGCAAACGTATAGTCCCCCAATTTCATATTGATATTTATTATTTTTAATTGCAAAATTCCAATGTCGTGAAATAAATAGAAATAAAGACCCGCGTGTCTGATCATGTATATATGTATTTCATCCACGTACGATCGGTAGAAATAGTCTTAAGAATAAACCTCTCACGTAGCTCCTTGAATTTAATCGAGGGCTCCGTGTCCCGTGCCCTATCGTCATCTGAAATCCGATTCCACGGTAAAGTCTTCCCCTCCGCTGAAAACATGCACCTCGGTCCCGAGGTACCATTCCGCGAGGGTTTTTCACATGAAACTTAACGCAACGAGCCCGGTATCAAACAATTGCATCCAAACCAGGTCATTATGCGTAACTAGGGCAGTTAGGAGCCAAGCCCGTGGTTTCGCGTTTTTTCCTCGACTATCAGCTGGACGTCCACGTATAGGAAGTTCCAGCGTTCCAGGGGACGACTCGTGAAACATCCCAGCTTAAAAGTAAATTACGCCCAGGTTTTCACAAATCCGCGACGGAAATAGTAAGAGAAACAATTTAAAGGAAGAGTGTTCGGATAAAAAAGCCCGGTCGAAAATCCCTCGTAAAAATGAACGCCTCGGCCCGAGAAGAGACGGGGGCCCCTACACCCACGTGTTCCGTAGAGGTTTAAAAGCCGATCCGACGTGCAGGCTTCCTGCGGGAACTCTACACCTCCAAAGCAAAACACGATCAGCCCGTCTTCGCGAGGCGGCGGCGTCTATCGCGTCGTATATCACGCGACCACGTGGGTAAGTGCCACTTGTGCCCGCATAAACGAACCGCGGGACTCGAGGCGAGAGCAGCGCGTCCTCGAAGGTCCCTCTCTCGCCCGAAGAGTAGAGGCGCGGAAAACCGCCGAAAAAGGACGGCTCGATACGTGCGAAATAATTCTGCGATTGAGCGTCTTGAGGGTCACACAGAGAATGGCGCGTCAACGAATCGAGGTTGAAACATACATAGGTACTGAGTCAACGCGCGGCGCTCCGTGTGACAGCCATTTCGTCAATGGTCCCTCTCTCGCCCGAAGAGTAGAGGCGCGGAAAACCGCCGAAAAAGGTCGGCTCGATACGTGCGAAATAATTCTGCGATTGAGCGCGTCGGGGGTCACACAGAGGGTGGCGCGTCAACGAATCGAGGTTGAAACATCTAGGTACTTCGCCGACGCGCGGCGCTCTGTGTGACAGCTATTTCGTCGATGGTCCCTCTCTCGCCCGAAGAGTAGAGGCGCGGAAAACCGCCGAAAAAGGACGGCTGGATACGTGCGAAATAATTCTGCGATTGAGCGTCTTGAGGGTCACACAGAGAATGGCGCGTCAACGAATCGAGGTTGAAACATCCAGGTACTGCGTCGACGCGCGACGCTCCGTGTGACAGCCACGTCGTCGATGGTCTCACTCCCGCCCGAAGAGTAGAGGCGCGGAAAACCGCCGAAAAAGGACGGCTCGATATGCGCGAAATAATTCTGGGATTGAGCGCGTTGGGGGTCACACAGAGGGTGGCGCGTCAACGAATCGAGGTCGAAACATAGGTTACTGCGTCAACGCGTGGCGCTCAGTGTGACAGCCACGTCGTCGATGGTCCCTCTCTCGCCCGAAGAGCCGAGGCGCGGAAAACCGCGGAAAATAGACACGGCAACGCGTTCGCGCAATAGAACAAACGTCTCGATACGAGTGAAATAATTCTGCGATTGAGCGCGTCGGGGGTCACACAGAGAGTGGCGCGTCAACGAATCGAGTGTGGCGGTCATAGCATATATATATTAGAAGTTCTTCCTTCGACACGGGCCTTCGATAGCCCAGCGGTTACACTCACCGCTCATACCATGTAGTCTCTCGGGTTCAAATCCCGCACAGGAGAGATTTTTCGGTGTCTAAGGCAGGGTCTGCCTGATAGCCTTACTGACGAGTCCACACACAGGCAGACCCGGGACGAAACACAACAAACAGGGCACACACCATCACCCTACAACACCTAAGCCCAAACGAGGAAACATACATAGGTACTGCGTCGACGCGCGGTGCGGAAAACCGCGGAAAATGGACGCGGCAACGCGTCCGCGCAATTGAACAAACGGCTCGATACGCGCGAAATAATTCTGCGATTGAGCGCGTCGGGGGTCACACAGAGAGTGGCGCGTCAACAAATCGAGGTTGGAACATACACAGGTTACTGCGTCGACGCTCGGCGCGGAAAGCCGCGGAAAATGGATGCGGCAACGCGTCCGCGCAATAGAATAAACGTCTCGATACGCGCGAAATAATTATGCGATCAACGACGCGCAGGAAGACCTGAGGGTTTATTACGTAAAGCAAATTGAGTGAAAATGTGAAAAATGAGTAGCTCACGGTATTACGGAACATTTTTGGTGGTGAAAATGCGAGACCGTTCATGTGAACTGGCTCGGCACAAATTTTTAAGCGAAATAGTGAAGCGTACAAGAAAAGATAGAAAAATAAGCGCCGTGAACGCCATCTTCCATAGATTGTGACGCCGAAATTTAAAATGGAAAACCTTCTGGGTGTTTTTATTTTCGGCAATAATATAACCCACATCTCTCAATAATGTTGGATTTACAAGGTATATACCTTTATTTGAAATATTACTAGACCGGAAGCTCTAGTGATCTCGTTCTTTCATATGTGCCCATAATTATGAAAGTGATCTAAGTCAAAATTAAAAAAAAAATGAGTTTATCAATTATTTCACGCCATATTATTTCAAACGAAATTAATTCAATGTAATTTCGAAACAAAAAATATATGACTTAGACCACTTTCATAATTATGGGCACATATAGCGAATACGTAATTCGGCGAATAAACCCACGTGAGATGAAAGTGCGAGAAGTGAGCGCTCTCGTAATACGTAATAAACGCCCAAAGTCCCATTGAGCGCGTCGGGGGTCACACAGAGGGTGGCGCGTCAACGAATCGAGGTTGAAACAGAAATAGGAACACGCCGTGTTTTGGGTGACACCCAACGCGCTCAATGGGACAGCCACGTAATCAGTGGAGAGAAGAATGCGAGCACATTTTCGATGGTATTCCGATTCCGAGGTATTTTTGAGTGAACATCGGTACCGTGGAATCGGATGTCGGGGATGGTTCTGCGACACCTCGGTCGACATCAGAGAACGGGCAATAACGAGGCAGACGAGAAGGCCTTCGACGCAGCATCATCGGCGACTCGCGACCCTGAACTCTGCCGAGGTGCCCGCGCACCTCGGAGTGTACTGCGCTTGCGCGCAAGGTTCTCCTAACCACGTGACCATTCGCGGGAAGATTCGAACGGCTCGCGTGCCCGCGTCGGCAGGGATAAACCGAGACAATTAGATACGAGTTTCACTCGATACTTTCATTTTGATAAAATGTATTTCTAGTATCGATACCCTTGGGTGGTATCGATGAAAAGTACTGGTATCCAGTCGTATGCCGTGTACATAATAAGGGAGACAGCAACTTGTTAATTTCTGCTTCAATTATACCCACTCTAACGTCAGGTGAATCGAGTAAGAATGAATTTTCATCGAAACTCGTTCGTAAATGCATTCTCCTTCTGTTCTACTTCCTGCATATGCGTTTGGGAGAGAAGTTTGGTTTATATCCTGGGTGTATATTTAAGTCGATAAGAGTAGGTACCGATACTTCTTTTTCGGTACAAGTAGGAAGTTCAAGTATCGACACTTGAGTGGGAGAATTTCATTATTTATCGGGGGTACTTTGAGCATTCGAGGCCGTATCGATCCTTTTTCTCGGTGCAAGTTTCACTAAATCTATCGACATTTCGGTGGTATAGGTTCAGCGCTCGCTAATCACATCGCGTCTCCCGTTCCCATCACCTCCACCCACCTGAGCTTCGCCGCGTACTCCACCTCGATGGCGCATCGGTCCCGGATGAAGTGACCATACCTCTCCAGAAACTCTATCCCCTTCTGCGTGTGGAGGGACAGATTTTCATACTGATCCTGGAAAAGAAAGAAGACGCGCCCATTATAGCCAGGGGCCGAGATAAGCGGCAAAATATTCCTAACTATCAAAGATTTATGTCTCCCGATATCCGAGCCGAAACTTCACGATTATTTCGGTGTCCGCGATGACGGGAAAGCGAATCATTTTTCTCGATTTCGCGGAAACCAACCGAATATGGCGGCTGTGTGAACCGGGAATCCAGTTTGAGGCACGAACAAAATTAACGAGCTTATTGGAATAATTCTGTGATATAGAAGCTTATGCCGTGTTGAGTTTTGTTTTTTTTTACAAACATCAGAGGTGTTAAAAAAATTAATAAATTCGGAAAATTACCATTTTAACGTTTTTGAGGTTTTGGGAGGCTCTGGATTTTCCTAATGTCAGGGAACCCATTAGAGTCGAAAGATTCAAATTTCCACGATTTCGGAATTTCTTTATCTTCTTGATCAGCTCTGATTTTTGTAAAAAAACACAAAATGCCACAAACAAAAACTCAACCCGACACAAACACGGTCTACATCACGGAAACATTCTAATAAGCCTGTTCATTTTGTTTGTGCTTCAAACTGGATTCTAGGTTCACACAGCTGCAATCATTGACTGCAGAGGGACCCCCTGCGCCATCTGTGATTTCCATGTTAATTAAATTTTCACTCCGAGACCTCGTATTCCCATCGTTTTCCCATAGAAGCGCATAAAACACTTTTTGTGCCTTTATCCCGTTCAAATGCGAGTTTATCGATTACCAGAGTGTTCTAAATTGTCGTCAAATTGTCCCGACCCCATCGTTTCTCAAGTCAGAGTCTTCAATAATTGTATATCGATCGAAATATGAGAGCTCTACGGCATTTGGTTCTGGTCTGGGCTAAGTGAAGAAATGTTTTTGAAAAATCCAAATTTTGAACGTGTCAGGACAATTCTTAGATGACCACGAGTGATGTGTCAAAGTTTCGGACAGTTTGGTCCAATATCCTTAAAAAAAAGTGTTGTATTCGAATCGAGTGATTTTAAGGGAGGTTTCACTTCGCCTTAACGATACATCGTATCAACGAGATCGCGGAGCTGTTAACGATTTCACGAAAGAGCTGCGATCTCTATGCACGATACCCAAGAGAACATACGTATCTGTACGTTGGGTATCTAGGCAGGTACACTGGGAGACATCAATGCCCTCCCATCCTGCACAGGCGATGCCGTATCTGCAGGGGAGGCATTTATGTCCGCCATTGTACACTGGGAGACATCAATGCCCTCCCATCCTGCACAGGCGATGCCGTATCTGCAGGAGAGGCATTCGTGACCGCCATGTACGCACTTCACCAGCACGCGAAGTGCCGTATAGACGTTATACTTGCATAGGCAGGCAGACTGCAACGGCACATAAAGTATATATGTTCCAGCGGCGTATGTACATCCGCCTAGTGGACGAGCTCCATTGTCGCAAGCGAGCGTCGAGCTCGAAGATTACGTCCGTTTAGCGCGGTGGTATGAAAAGTGAAACCGTCGCTCGGGATGAACCCGACGCGGCCGCAGAAAGGTAGAGCGTTTTGCATGAGTCTCGTCTCCAACGAGTCCTACGAACGAACGGGAATTTCCTCCGTAAACGACAATTTCCCAGTCTGCCTGGAAACCACTTAGTGGATTTAATTATAAGCTCGTCGGAATTTCTTTTCTCGACGTCTCCTCGCGTAGTTACCGTAGCCGAGTCGCGCCGCTCGACGAAGTTCGAAAGGCAGAACTTCGGGTCTTAAAATGCAAAGGCTCTCCTCCCGAGGTTTCTCGGGACTTCCGGAATTGCTAAAAGAAATACGCCGTCTACGCGTCAGCTTTAACGGGATATATTTTACTAGGAAAAGGTGAAACCGCACGTCGGATCGTCTAGAGGTGGGCGGGCTAAGGACAGCTAAAGGAGACGAAGCGCCGTATCAACGTCTCATCTCCAGGAACTCTCGGGGCGAGTTATTAGTCATGGAAGTTTATCGCCGAATGACAAACTCTCTCTTTCATCGATTTATGAATTTAGTTATTAACCCCTTGCCTTGGGATTTAAATTCCAATAGCGCGTGCCGGTAACAACAAAAATGTCGGTCGTACGTCGGGCCATTTCGCGGTTTGGCTGAATAGATCGATATACAATTATTAAAGGCTCTAATATTAGAAACGAAAAGTATTAGGGCAATTGTACGATCATTTAGAACACTCTGGTAACCGATAAACTCCCATTTGAATGGAACAAAAGCAACAAAAAGTGTCTTATGCGCTGCTATGCTAAAACGATGGTAATACGAGGTCTCGGAGTAAAAATTTAGTTGACATGGAAATCACAGATGGCGCAGGGGGTCCCTCTGCAGCCAATTACAGCGTCAGAAATCACGAATCCAAAGGAGTTCTAGAGTTTTTTTTCGGTTTCTTTATAATTATTGAGGAAACCGACAGATGGAGTATGCCATTTAATTCAATACTCAATATTATTCGACACAGCTGACAATTTTACTACGAACGTCGGCAATTAAGGTAATTAGAAAAATCCTTTTTACCGATGTCTATCAAGTTCCGCGACGCGTTTCACTTCACCTTAAAGCGCATCGCGAGCGTAGACGCGCGTTTCTCGGAAAGGAATGCGAATCGCATTGTTCAAGGACAAACGTCTCCGGAGTTTCGCGCTACCGGTGAACGCCGGAGATAGTGGGACACGTCGATTGGCTGGGTTGGCCAGCTCCTGGCATTCGGAGCGCGTTACTTTCATTTCCAGCGAGTTAAGTCGATTCAAGGGTCGCCACGAGGCGAGTCTTAAGGTAAAATGAAACCCTCCTAAAATCAGTCGATTTGAATAAAACACTTTTTTTTAAGAGTATTGGACCAGCGAGTTAAGTCGATTCAACGGTCGCCGAGAGGCGAGTCTTAAGGTGAAATGAAACTCCCCTAAAATCAGTCGATTCGAATAAAACACTTTTTTTTAAAGGGTGTTGGACCAACGAGTTAAGTCGATTCAAGGGTCGCCGAGAGGCGAGTCTTAAGGTGAAGTGAAACCCCCCTAAAATCAGTCGATTCGAATAAAACACTCTTTTTTAAAGGGTATTGGACCAGCGAGTTAAGTCGATTCAAGGGTCACCGAGAGACAAGACTTAAGGTGAAGTGAAACCCCACTAAAATCAGTCGATTTGAATAAAACACTTTTTTTTCAAGGGTATTGAACCAGCGGGTTAAGTCGATTCTAGGGTCGCCGAGAGACGAGACTTAAGGTGAAGTGAAACCCCCCTAAAATCAGTCGATTCGAATAAAATACTTTTTTTTAAAGGGTGTTGGACCAACGAGTTAAGTTGATTCAAAGGTCGCCGAGAGACAAGTCTTAAGGTGAAGTGAAACCCTCCTAAAATCAGTCGATTCGAATAAAACACTCTTTTTTAAAGGGTATTGGACCAGCGAGTTAAGTCGATTCAAGGGTCACCGAGAGACAAGACTTAAGGTGAAGTGAAACCCCACTAAAATCAGTCGATTTGAATAAAACACTTTTTTTTTAAGAGTATTGGACCAGCGAGTTAAGTCGATTCAAGGGTCGCCACGAGGCGAGACTTAAGGTGAAGTGAAACCCCCCTAAAATCAGCCGATTCGAATAAAACACTTTTTTTTTTTACAGGGTATTGGACCAGATAGTTAAGTCGATTCAAGGGTCGCCGAGAGACGAGACTTAAGGTGAAGTGAAACCCCCCTAAAATCAGTCGATTCGAATAAAACACTCTTTTTTAAAGGGTATTGGACCAGCGAGTTAAGTCGATTCAAGGGTCGCCGAGAGACAAGTCTTAAGGTGAAGTGAAACCCCCCTAAAATCAGTCGATTCGAATAAAACACTTTTTTTTAAAGGGTATTGGACCAGCGAGTTAAGTCGATTCAAGGATCGCCAAGAGACGAGTCTTAAGGTGAAATGAAACCCCCCTAAAATCAGTCGATTCGAATAAAACACTTTTTTTTTAAAGGGTATTGGACCAAACTGTCCGAAACTCTGACACGTGACCCGTGATCAGCTAAGAAGCGCCTTGACATATTAAAAGTTTGAATTTTTGAAAAACATTTCCTTAACTTAGCCTAGACCAGAAACAAGATGGCGTCGAGCTCTCATATTTCGATCGGTATACAATTATGGAAGGCTCTGGTATGAGAAACGAAAGGGTCAGGACAATTTAAGGACAGCTTAGAACACTGGTAATCGATAAACTTGCATTTGAGCGGAATAAAGGCAAAAAAAAGTGTTTTATGCGCTTCTATGCCAAAACGATGGTAACACGAGGTTTCGGAGTGAAAATTTAATTGACCTGGAAATCACAGATGGCGCAAGGGGTCCCTCTGCAGTCAATTATTGCCCCAGAAAGCATAAATCCAGAGGATTTCTGGAGTTTTACTTAGATTTTCTTTATAATTATTGTAGGAAAACGACAGGTGGAATTTGCCATTTGGTACAATACCCAATATAATTCGACACAGCTGTCGATATAAAAACGAACGTCGACAACGTATGTATTTAGATAAATCTTCTTTATCGACGTCGATCAAGTTCCTCGACGCGTTCACCTTAACTCTCGGCTTTTCACATCGAGACCAAGTGGAACTCTGCAATGATCCATTCTTTTCATCTGCGAGAGTTTTTATTAGACCCGAGTCAACTAAGAGGGACGGTATCGCACGGCGATACGACACGCAGACCGTGAACGACCGTTTCGAGGACAACGGAGTTCCTGTCGCCTAATAACCCACGAAACTCTGACTGTACTGCAAGCATAGCGCAACGCGATTGTAAAGTACGTTGCAAAGTAATCGCGTGGGAGTAAAGAACAATTCCTACCATGGGGAACTTTTCTGAACCGGCAGGCGGTATGCAGAAAGGTTCAAGGACGTCGGTGAAATCAAAAGGAGGAGATATCTTAGAGGGAGGGAAAGGGGGAAAAGAAGCAACTTTTCATTGGTCGAAAAGAGAACGACCGATAAGCGAAGAGGGACAAAT